CAGGCAAACAACCTGCAACACGCCCATCAGGCAGCAAGGGTGAGGATAGGTGGGGGTGGGTTATGCTGGTGTGGTTTGGGCCTTAATTTCCTCCTTTATTTAATTTAGGTATTATGTCAAAGTGACAGAAAAGGGACTGGTCAGCACAAGTGGTGAAGCCAAGTGCAATGGTTCTCAAACTTTGGTGTGCCCTAGGACTTGATAAAACAGTGCCGAGCTTCTTCCCACAGAACTAGGCAGGGCACAAGAATCTGCATTTCTAATAAGTTCACAGGTAATCCGAAACTGTTGGGTTTTTATTGCCTTTGAGAATCACTGGTCTAGGACAATCTATTAAAACAAGTCAAGTTTCATAGTCTGTAACCCATAGGTGATTTTAAAAATTAAGGAAGTGAAGTTAGTTATTGTTTCTTTTAAATTGTCAATATTTCATCTTAAATTGCATGCACACATATGTGTGTATGTGTATGTATATGTATGTATGTGTATATGTATGTATGTATGTATGTATGTATGTATATGTGTGTATGTATATCTATATTCAATGGGCATGAGAGGATCATTTTTTTTTTTTTCATAATGTTGAGAAGTCAATAAACAAGAGTCCAATCATTGTTACATCCAGGATGGGTACTCTGGAAGATAAGTATGTACCTGACCATCCTACCCCAAAGGGACAGACCAGCTACTCAAGCCAGGTAGGCAGGAACTCCTGTCCAAGGACCTGGGTGCTTGCATTTCATCCGTCCTAGAGTTTTGGGTGAAGTAAGATTCTGTCTAGATAGATGCTGTTTAGGCTGCACCCTGACACACACATGGAAGCTCTGGGCCGTTCTCTTCACGCACTGCTTCCGCCAGCACACCAGCTGACGGGCCAGCAGAAGTGGTCCCTTCTGCTGATGCAGTTCTGAGTGGCAACTCAGTGCTTTAGATAGTGGCTGGCCCACACTGTCCACTCAGTGCATGCCTGTCACTCAGTACTGGCCCACATCTGCTGTTTACAGACCTATGCTTCCTCCTTGGCTGCACATGTTCCCAATACAGCCCTCACCCACCCCCACCCCAGCCTCTTTCTTGGGCCAAGGTACTAGCCTTTCTGATCCTCGAGCACACTTAGTTTTTTGTTTTTGTTGTTTTGTTTTGTTTTTTGTTTGTTTGGGTTTTTTTTTTTCTTCTCAGTCTTTTCACCATTTGTCCCCAGGCTCCACCTGAATGGGAGCATTCCTGAGTTACAGCTGGCACTTTAATATATGACCTAATGTAATGGGGATTGTACCTCCTTATCCTACCAGATTTAGGCACCAAAGGCAGGAGCTGTCCAAATGCAAGAGCAATTCAATCCAGGTAGTACCTGACAGCAGATGCTCTAGTATAGCTGGCCCTGGACCTCGCCTGGTTGGGGTGCCTGGATGGCAGAACATGTCTACCCAGAGACACAGTGGCTTCTTCCTAGTGAAGCAGCTACAAGGCCTGAGACCCCAGGTGGGCCTTAGGCGGTGAACTGCTCTCACTCCCATATTTGCTTTAAAGACAAACAAACAAACAGCCTCCCTCCAGCTCTCCCTTCTCCCCATTTTCTGTCTCCACCCCGGTACCTTCTCCTCCCCGCCACTGTTTCCCCCAAGGAAGACTTTTGCTTACGCACTCCTATGCGATGTGAGTTCCTCCTGATCAGTTGCCTGGCAGGCAACCGTTAACTCAAAAGCAGCACCATGGCCAGCACCACTGGCATCCCTGGCTGCAGCAGACTGGCTTGATTCAGGCTGGCTTTGCGCCACGCTCTAACTCACCTTCGCATCGGCAGCTCTTCCATCTTCTGTCAACCGTCTCAGGTGTCTTCAGCCGCCTCAATACCTCCACCTTAAGTATCTCAAGCTTCCACACCCGCTTGATTTTCAAAAACCCAGCTCTCAAAGACCTTCCAGTTTCTCAAGCAAATCTTAAACCAAGTTTAATTCTTCCCCTCGGGCATCAACAGATTCTACTGTTGCTGACTCCCAAAGTCCTCTGAAGTCTGGCAGCATCTCACCACACCCACCACTCCCACTGTGGCCACACTCAGCCTTACACTCCTATGGCAGTCTTGCTTTGCTGGGGACCCTTGTATGGCCTTCTTAAAAACAGTGATTTGCTAAAAACTGAAGTCACCACCTCTTTGGTCAGGTGTTTCGCATTTGAGTCAAATCTCAATCTGTTTCTGTTCTCTCCAAAGTTTCACTCGGGATCCTTCTTGTCACAGCCTGTCTGCTCGTTCTCTTGCTGTGCCAGCCACAGGGCCCCTTTGCTGTTCCCTCCACAGTATCCCGACCATGTTCCCTCAGCCTACCACAATGTACCCAACTTCCCAGGGGCAGCCATTCAGCTCCTCCCACGAGGCTTCCCACACACATTAAAAGTGGATTGCCATAGTGCCCTCCAATGCTCCTGACCCACCTTATTCCATCACACCTGTCCCTGAGAAGGTAAGTTCCACAGAAATGACACATTTTGGTCAGGGGCTTTATTAGTAACACAAGACAACAGAAATAAAGTGAGGTAGGCAGCAGGGACCCCCCCCCCCCCAATGTCTTCTGATAACATGATAGCACACTTGTGTAGGCTCTAGAATTGAGCTTTGCCAAAACGAAAATGTTCACCCGTAATGCCAGCACTGGGGAGGCAGAAGCAGGAGGGGCCTCAGTTTGAAGCTTTCTTGGGCTGCATAGTAAAAGATGTAGTCTAAAAATGAACTTTCTGATAGCCTTCAAAAAATCTGTGGACCATTAGAACTGAAATATTTTCCATAAGGAAAAAAATCCATTAGAAGCTTAACATTTACAATGATTACACCAGAGTAATAATAATTCACTAATCATTAATCACTGTCAAAAGCTAAATGCCATTAAATCAACTATAAAATCTGTATCAAAGTTAATTTTCAAAGTAATATGATAGATGTTTATGTCTCCCTACCCCTCTACCACTTCTGTTGGCTTTGGATACAAATAGAATTCATATTCAGGTTAAATTTTTTTTTATTACAGAAAATAAGTATGTTTTCAGTGAGTTGAATCATAAGCCTTTTTATGACTACTTTTCAGTAGGTAAGTGAAAGAAAGCTATTTAAAGTTTCACTTTAGCATTCAATTAAATAAAAAAAATTAAAAGATTCTTCCTAAAGATTTGGTAAACTACACAGGCTTTTCCTCAACAGAAATTTCATTTGTAAGAGGATTAAATGAGATGATTAAGGTGGACGTGAGTGCTCTGCAGGTCTTTCTAAGTAAATGGATACAAATTAGTTCATTTGAGCTGATGTGCATCTTCCTAGCACCTTAAAATGTGATGCAATATATTTGTGTAAGTAATTATAATTTCTCAAAGGATACCAGGCTCCCATATAAAGATTCTGAATTCTGCAAGACACTTCCACATAAAATCTTCGAATTAAGAAAAATTTATAGACTACCTGCAGTCATTTTTCAGAACAAATTAATTCCATTTAATTTCTCAGCTTTTCAGTTCTGTTTACCATAGTTCACAAAATATTATAGTGTTGTCATTCAATGTCACTGTATAATGTATTCCAGAAATGTCTGTTAGCTCTCCTGTTATTAGGTAATTTTGTGATTCGAGTCTCCTGTTACTGTTTTGATGTTGAGCTTATTATGGTACCTTTCAATGCAAAAACAAAACAAACCTTTTTCAAAAAGCATGAAGAAGAAAAGCTCCCACTTTGATTCTGAAGATGGAAAGAGTAAAGCAAGGGTGGACGTACAAGTCTGCAGAGCATGCAGTTGAGTCTCTCGTCTCAAAGGAAGCATTTCCTCTCTATCTAGTCCTATTACCTGGAAAGAACCAGGCTCTAACAGGCAGGTCACTGTTGTTCATTTTACCCAGCAGTAACTAAAGTAGAAATGAATGGAAATTAAAAATAAAATCCCTATTTTAAAAAAAATTAGCAGTTCCTAGTCAATTAAGAAATATATAAGACTGATCAGCTCTTTACGTGCCTAACTCAATATGCCATTTAAACATCAAGACCAAGGTGATCTCATGTTTGTTTTTAACTAGTTGCAAATAAATGAAGGCTAAAGGGGAATTTACCTTAGAAGCACACAACTTCCTCTCACAAGGAGATCATAACGCACCAAACTCCTCTTGTTACAAGAAGAAAATTTTAAATGGATGACAGATGAACTATAGAGCCCAAGGCTGGATACAAATAAAATGCATCAGTGATACCTCCTGCCCCCGCAACAGCCATTGCTGAAAGGGTTTCACATCACACTGTTCTGTCTTTTGGCTGAGGGAAATAAGTGGCAACTGTCTTCTTACCAGCCCCATGCCCAACCATATGCCAACCAGTGCGCCTCACCTCATCCCCTCAGACTCACTAGGCACAAGGCCAATTTCTAATGAAGTTCCACAGAGTCCTGGGGGCCACTGATGTCAGGATCCTACACAGTAATCCCTGGCCCAACACCATCCAGCTTAGAGGGCTCTACTCTAGGTGAGAAAGAATACTCATTCAACATTGACTTTCATTATCAGAAGATGCTCGACTCCAAAAGTTCAGAGCAGCAACACACAGCAATTAGTTGTGTTCTAAAGCTCTACATTGATACACTCCAAGATTTCACTGGGTTACAAAAAAAATTTAAGGAAGGTATATGTGTGACCCATACTTATACATGACTAACAACAGCTCTACCTTCAGCCATTCAACCAAGATTCTGCTGTCCTAAAAGTTGAATTCAGAGACAGCAAAGCTTGAGTGTGTGTGTGTGTGTGTGTGTGTGTATGTATGTATATATGTGTATATATATATATATAAATTTATAACAGTCATTCAACATGCTGCTTGTGCACTGAAAAGTACGTGCAATGAGAAATGCCCTCCCCCCAGGTGTTTAGGACAGAAGAAAACTAAAATGAGAGCACAGTAAAAAAAATGACATCACTGTTTCTTGAAATCTTCCTGTCAGGTAGAAATATCAAAATGCAGTTCACAAAGCTGATCATTTGAGTGTAACATTTATTAAATTTCATCATTTATGATCACTGTTATAACCAAATCAACCCTGGCAGAAGCTCTGACAGTTAAAAACAGAGAACATACTGATTTTCAACTATTTTACTTACATGTTCTTTTTAAATTCTCATGCAGTGCTCATAATTAGGAAATACTGTACATTCATCCTCTCATGTTTATTAAGACACTCTCTAAAAACTATTCATAGACACATTAGTTGCTATTCCTTCTGACTATGTATTTATAATACACTCTTCTGTAAAATGTATAACTGTGGCCACATAATAATAATTACGACAATAAGATAATTTCAGGAAAAGGTTACAACAAAAAAGAGCAAATTTGAAGAGACTGGGGCATATAAAAGTCACTTGAGAACACCACACACACTTGAGTATTTTCATTTTCCAGTTCAAAAGGACATGCTCAAAGTTTTCTTAGCAGAGAATTGTCAGGAATGCATGAAAACGAACTTTCATGTCTTATCCACTGGCAGAAGATCAGTGCCTCTGAGGAAAGAGAGCTGTGGCCATTATCTTTTAGGTCTGTCCACATCATCTATGGCTGCTAGGAGCTTTTGTCTTGCTTTCTTATTGATATGAGATCCCAGGCAAACATTCACCAGGTTGGTCAGCTGCTTCGTTGAATATTCCTGCCGAAGGAAGAAAATTCAAGTTCAACACCCAATCTATGGAAATTGATGCATCTGATGAGTACAAGAGGACAGCAGGCAGATATCGGATGCCGGTGGGTGGTTCTGAGCACTGTAAGCCAGGGTGAATAGTGGACGACGTTATAGCTGGAGCACCAAAGGCAACTGTCTACTGTGCTGTGAAGGTGGGAGCTAGGGCAGAAGACACTGGAGGAGGCAGCAACAGAATCTGTTTTAATACTACAAAGTGATGGAATATGCTGTTTATTGCTTTAAAGGGCACACATGCTTTATACTTGTTTCTGTGGTAGTCTTCATGTTATCAAAATATACTGCCATTTCAAATTTTAAAATGCACTCTACATTTTATACTTCAGTTGGTATCTCCAACAGAACAATGATTCCTTTATGATATGAAGACAAGGCAGTGAAGCAGAAAGACGCCCTAGAAGACTTAAAAGATTTATTTATTTTGTTTTTATGTATATGAGTATTTTGCCTTTATATAAGTATGTGTAGTATACATGTGCTTGGTGTCTGCAAAGGTTAGAAGAGGGTGTTGGGAGTCCCTGGCCCCGAGTTACTGATGTTTGTGAGCCACCATGTGAGTGCTGGGAGTCAAATCTGCAAGAGCAGCCAGTGCTCTTAACTGGGGGGCCACCTCTCCAGCCCAAAGTCACTCTTTTTCAACTTCTCAGATTATAACTATTAGGCAATTAGTAAAATGAAGACTAAATATCTTTCACTGTCCAAGTCTATCTAGTTTATGTGTTCAAGAGGACATTGGGAGGATGGGCAGATGGTTCCTCAGAAATGCTGCATAGTGTTTTTCTTGTAGAACAACACGAGTTAAGATAGGGAGGGACAATTGTGCACTTGCACCTGAAAAGAGACAAGAAGGCCTGCTTATAGTAAGGACATTGTTAAAGAGAGCAGTGCAGCATGTTACAGTACGAGGAAGAGCTCATTCTAAACCTCAGCAGATGACTTCACATGTACACCTGGCAAAGCATCTCCTCTGTCTGCTCAGCACTCAGTGTCCATCATCACTGAGCACTGGACTTGCTCTGGAGATGAGTAGCTCTAGAAGCTCCCAGCTTTTCAGCTGGAAAGAGCCTGTAAGAAATTCCCTACTGCTGTTGGGAAAATGTCAATGAACTGCAAATACTGTCTAGTTGAAGCTTCTAAAACGCCAAGCTACAAAGTTTACTTATAGCATTAAAAGAATAAACCCTAAAGAGGGCATCATTTCTGCATCAAGCAATAGACAGGTAAGAGCTGTGCTTTCTTTCTGTCCCTCAATAGGCACTCTGTACATGCTCACAACCTTCCCTCAGCACCAACACTGAACATCAGCAGCTCACTCTGCTAACCAAGTGAACATTTAACAGCCCATCTGCAAATAGTGGTTTTGGTTCTCAAATATCAGTGGGGAAAAGAGTGCTAAGTTTTTCTCCATTTTGGCTTATTTATCAAAAAGTCCTTAAAAGTAGCATGTACATCTCAACTCACTTCCAACAAGCACTAGGCATTTACAAAAATCATTTCATCTTTTTACAATGTTAAAACTCAAAAGGATAAACCAAATAAGGTAGATACAAGTGACAACTTACTTCCTTATCCAAATGAAATAAAACATTACTCAGCTTTTACCCATGTTTAGTATCAAGTGAACACTGGAGTTATTACAAGTATTAATATTCGGTGATTTTCTTTTCTTTTCTTTCCCTTTCCTTCCTTCCTTCCTTTCTTTGTTGTTTAGTTTGGTTGCTTTTATTTTGTCCTATTTGAGACAGAATCTTATGTAGACCAAGGTGGCCCTCAATTCACTATGAAGCCAAGGCTGGTTCTGAACTTAGGAAACCCCTGCTTGGTTACAGGTTCCTTTAATCCTCTCCACATTTTCCTCAAGACCCCTTCACACACTGTCTATCTAACAAATGATCCAAAGATCACACAGAAGTGCTCTCTGCTGTGTGTGTGTGTGTGTGTGTGTGTGTGTGTGTGTGTGTGTGTGTGTGTGTTTTATATCCTTCTGAGGTCACTGATGTAGTTGAAGACTAGGTAGTTATAATTATAAATTTTCCTTGGTTATTTTAAAAGATGAATTAGACATGAAACTTTAGACTCACAAATATAGGATAGATGATAGAATATTTTCTTTAATTTTACAAAATAGACTAGATATTGTAATTGTAATTCTTACTTGATAACTGTTCTATTATATGTAATTTTGCTATGTTAAAGCTAAAACCTTCCTTTTTGATTAGACAGAAAAGGGGAAGTGCTGTGGGACACTGTTCTGTATGCTGTGAATATGTGTTGCTCTGATTGGTTGATAAATAAAATGCTGACTAGCCAGTAGCCAGGCAGGAAGTATAGTATAGGCAGGGAGAGCTGATGAGGATTCTGGGAAGAGGAAGGCTGAGTTAAGAGTCACCAACCAGACACAGAGGAAGCAAGATGACAAGGCAGAACTGGGAAACGGTACCAAGCCACATGGCTAAACATAGATAAGAATTATGGGTTAATTTAAGTGTAAGAGCTAGTCAGTAATAAGCCTGAGCTAATGGCCAAGCAGTTATAATTAATATAAGCTTCTGAGTGATTATTTTATAAGCAGGCTACTGGACTGCAGGGGCCTGGCGGGACTAGAGAAAACTTCTTGCTCTGCATGCGTGCGTGCGTGCGTGTGTGTGTGTTCATTTCATTAAGCTGCAGAAATTCAGCATTCTAAATAACCGAAGAAAAACAATCAAACTTATATTAAAGGCAAAATCTAATGCTTGGTAAGAGTCTAGCCATATGTACTAATATTTTCAAATCATCCCTACAGGCCACTATGATGAGGATGCTATCATTTCACTGTTTAAGAGTACAAAACTTAGGTTCTACAGCTTATGAATCATTTCAGTCTTACTTCACTCAATTTATTTTGATACCAACCACGTTCAGTCTCAACCTGTGACGCAGCACAGGAAAAGCAGAGCTCATGTTCTAATTCTAGGACTCAAAAGGATGAGATGAGCTAAGACATCACATAGCTAGTGTGAATACAGTGAAGCCAACCTAAGCAGCGTTTCTTTGTATTACTCTCTTGAGTCAGACAAGAACAGCACAATGGAAAGGAACACAATCTGACCCCTGCTCTCACCCTGTGTTCTCTGATCCAGCGCTCCATGTCATTCTCAGTTAGGTAGTAGGCTTTGATATATGTTTCCACAAATTCTTTATCAGGAATGGGTCTAATATCAGTTAGTTTTTCAAGCTTCATTAAAAACTGTTGAAAATCCAATTGCATCAAGGCACGACCCTCATTACTGCACTTCTTGACATTGGCGTATCTAAGAGACACACAATAACATAACAAGTGATGAGATGCTGAGAAAAACAGACAGCAGCCTTGTGTCCCAGGAATGGGCTGTGCTCATGCTACTCCTTTACCCATCTGCTTAGTCTTTAGTACTAGTCCTATCTACTCCTTGCTTTCCCCACTTGCAAAACAAAGAAAGTAAGCCGCTCAAAGGTTCCTCTTTGCCCTATGGACTATAGTTTTCTGCATTCAGTTAACACAGTCATCTGAAAGAAAACTAGGTGCTCTGACTACCAAGAATTATTTTTAAAACTATGCTCAAATACTCCGAAGTCATACAAGTTAGAAAACATTTCAGTATTATAGCAATTCAATGAAAAAGGAACAAATGAGATAATTCTCCCATCAACATTATACATATTTTCCATAATAAAATAATTCATGGATGTATTCTGATACACCTCATTACTGAAATACTGGATTTAAGGCGGATGTCTAATAATAATGGATATATTAACCCTACAGTACAATATTTTACTAAGTCAGTGATATAGTCAATGTTAGGAAGTGAGCTGTTTTCTTAAAGAAATTGACCAGAAAAAAAAAAAAAAAAAACCACAGCTTATATTATTTAGTAATCAATGGATTTTTGTATTTTATTTTTTAAATAAAGTGGTTTGTGTGGAAACAACACATATTTATCACTTTTTATTTAAACAAATTTATTTGTAATATTTCTAAGCTGTGGCTATTGACACGGCCATCTTATATAAAGCATGGTGCATCTAACAGGCCATCCCCATGACTTTCCCACTTCCCAAGGCATTCTTCTCATAACAAGGAAAAAGGAAAGAGAAATCAGATGAAAGATGGTATAAAATTCAATGTGTACATGGTCTTAAAAGAGCTGTTTGCCAATTGAGCAAACTGTCTTCTTTGTGTCAGATGATGTCGACAGAGTAGGGATGGCGTCAAGTTAGTGGGAGCACTACCGTGCACAAACTGGGGGTCTAAGGGAGATGAAGACGGGACGAGCGATGACAGGCAATCTGAAGACGGACTTTGCCGTGGAGCACCAGGAGTTCAGGAGCCCTCTCTGCCGCTGAACACAGTGCACCTGGCCAAGTTACTCACCCTCTCTAAGTCTGGACTTTCTGACCCAAGATTTCCCAGTGACAATTATAAACAGAGGCAACTCAGGATTTGCCAACAAAATCTGTGAAATCTTTGGCTTAGTAAATAATATTCAGTAAATGTTAGGAATACTCATAAAACTTATTAGATAATAATTATTAGTTTCACTTTCAGATAATCTAATGGCTCTGTATTCCTCATTCATCTACTATCTTGTCCAATATCAAAATAACTCACAAAATAATCCACAGGGATAGGCACAGAGTGATCTATGGCTCCCTCTCCAACTTGGTTTCAAGCATGTCAGCTACTGATCATTATCTCTATCTAGTAAACAAATATGCCATTCATATACTACATCAGAATTTAAGACACAAGGAATGCTTTCTTAAAACTTACCCTTCCACAATAGTTCTGTTAGCTAATCGTATACAATGTTCCCAAAGTATATTTGACACAGGCAAGGGTATCCGAACTCTCTTAGAAACTTCATTTAACCGCTTGTTAAACTGCTCAAATTCCTAGGAGGGACAAAAGTCATGGCTATAATTTTAATGCCACAGTATTTTCACACACACACACACACACACACACACACACACACAAAAAAAAAAAAAAAAAAAAAAATAAAAAAAAAAAAAAAGAACCAAATATGTAGATTTTAACTAAATGAAGCAAAAAGAAGGTGGGGGAGATTAATGTCACAGACAATTTGGACTTAGTATAAAAATTAAAAAACAAAACAAAACAACAACAACAAAACAACAAAACCAGGGCTGGGAAACGGCTCAGCAGGTGAAGCCCTAGCTGCGGAACACCGGCTCACACACTGACCTCATGCCCACGCAGATCTTCCTCCTTCTCCTCTCATACACACACAATAAGTAAACAGATGAACAAACATTTTAAGAAAAACATAAACTATGTTACAGCACAGAACATACTACATTTATCTAAAGAAAAATAAGCATCATCAATTGACTAAACAATTTTAACCATGATTAAATACCTTTACATCTCAAAATTTTCTGATTGTCTACTGTGGACTAAAAAAAGCTAACTGACTTAATCTGGAGACATAGTTTTAAAATCTATTTTTATTTATTTATTTATTTATTTATTTATTTATTTATTTATTTATTTATTTATTTATTTATTTATTTATTATGTACACAGAAGAGGGCGCCAGATTTCATTACAGATGGTTGTGAGGCACCATGTGGTTGCTGGGAATTGAACTCAGGACCTCTGGAAGAGCAGTCAGTGCTCTTAACCTCTGAGCCATCTCTCCAGCCCCTTAAAATCTATTTTAACAAGCTTTCAACTCAAAATTAATTATTCATAGCATGTCAGTATTTATACTCCCTAGAAAATAATCTGATAAACTGTTTTCATTCCTAATCATTATTTAACATTAAATACACTATTACATGCAAAACAATTTGAAAGTTATGTCACAGTCACAAAACTTTAGTACAAAGGAAAACCACCATTAAACATTTTTATTAGCTACTGAAAAACTAAGCATTTTTATTGTCTTAACTTTCACAGCAAGATTATATTAAAGCTGAGAACATAAGAACTAATTTAGGAAACACGAGTGACTTCACAACAGCAGTAAAAAATTCATCTTTCAGTGGATGGCCTCTTTGGACTACTCTCAACTGAATGTTCACATACAAAAGGAATGCCATTGACTCTTCCCTGGCAATGTATTTCACATAAATTGAAGAAGGATTAAGGTGGGATTTTGCTGAACAGAGAAATGACATGACGTTTAGCAAGTTGGGCGCAACATGTGCTCAGAGGTCCTAACGAGAGAGACACAGGAGGAAATCACCTGGGTCAGGCCAGGTGTGCTGTGTGGCTGACAGCTATCCTGCCTGGTACTTCTTGGCTACTTCCCAAGGCACAGCTTTCCTTGCTGATTTATTTTTTAACAGTTCATTGCTTTTAATTATTTCTTCTAAGAAATGTGTCTCCAATCCACTAAGCTTACTTTTTGAAATCAAAGCTCAATAAGTAATTGCTCTCCATCAGCTGTTTCATTTCACAGATCTCACAGAGCAGCAGCACTGGCCGTGGTATTTATTCATGCTTTTGCTATAGTAAACTACTTTGGATTTCAAGTCATAGTTTGGTCATTTTCATCACTATTTTACTTTAGAAAGCTATAGGCTTAATACACAAACAATATTTTTCACTAAGTTCAGCACTCACAAGTACAGCTTGTTAAATAAACCACCGAATTTTACTCAGGAACATGTAAAAGCAACAACATCAGGTTTTGTTTTTGCACAATTTAAATTCAGGAAAGTAACACAAAGAATAGCAAGTATCAGACAACCTGTAAATTTAAAGATGGCCTTGGGCCACTAAAAAGGATGGGTTCAGATTAATAATCAAATGACATTGGCTCTGCTTTAGAATAATCATTTTTCAAGGAATTAAGATGTGAAATCAAGTAGTACCTTCTAGCACTGTACTTCTGAGCAAGAAGTCTTTTCCCTTTTCTATGCATCTGATGTTTGATATGTTTTGTTACCTCAAGTTCATCTTGTGAAATCCCAACGCCCCAGGATGACAGTGTTGGAAGTAGGGTCTTTGGAAAGTAACTGGGTATGAGGTATGCCTGGAGATTGATACTTTTATAAAAGATATCCTTTTTTTTTTTTTATCACATGAGCATGCAACAGGAAGTTGAGATCTGTGAAAAATCAGCCCAGCCCACTCAGCTAATCTGTCTGAGCCTTGACACTAGACTTTCTAGGCATCTGAACTCTGACAAAACAAAACACAACACAACAACAAAACCGACCTACCATACCCTATGTATTGCCTCAATAAACCAAGGAAACATGTCATAAAAGTAGAATAAAAACCATATTGTTTTGAAATGAGGAGACATCATTATTTAAAATCACACTTATTTTTTTATTTTTTTTTTTTATTTTTTTTTTTGGTTTTTCAAGACAGGGTTTCTCTGTGTAGCTTTGCGCCTTTCCTGGAGCTCACTTGGTAGCCCAGGCTGGCCTCGAACTCACAGAGATCCGCCTGGCTCTGCCTCCCGAGTGCTGGGATTAAAGGCGTGCGCCACCAACGCCCGGCAACACACTTATTTTTTTAAATTCCAAATTTAAAGTGGCAACTGAAATCTCAAAGACAAGACTCTCTCAATTTCAGGAGAGCAAAGCCAGAAGATTTGCATTTGTTGCTCACCCCTTGGATCCCAACGGCACTCCTAGATACAACTGAGCACAGCCTTCGAGTCTGGAGACAGCTTGATAGCCCTATAGAAGGGTGCTGTACGCTGTGGTAAGGCACAGCAGACCAATCCTACCTAACCCATGTTCTAAACTATGGCTTCATTGGTTCTCAGGTACCCCAGCTACTAAGAATGATTTTAAATGAGATTAAAACCAGGACTCTATGAGTCAATTTCTTTATGCTGAGAGGAATGAAAAAAATCTTTCTGAAAGTTGCTTTTCCTGGATACTCTTTATTAGATATTCCACATGGTACCTTTTCTTCCTTCTGTGAGTAGGCTTCTGTGACCAGAGCAATCAAGTGACATTCCTCTCCCACCTACTTCCTATCGTTCCCCTCTTGGCTGCTTTGTCCTATGCAAGCATTATATACCCTGGGTATTACACACTCATCTGTGGGCCCTCTCTCTACACTGACTAGGATGTCCCTCAAAGTCACACAGGCTCCTTGGCTGACAGCTATCCTGGCAGATTTCTATCAGCTGAGGTACATGTCGGGTGGTCATAAGTATCAACTGATTCACAAATACAAAAAGGTGAACTGCAATTCTCTTTAGGGAACATATAAAAGCAGGCATCACTCCCACACAGCTGATCACCTAGGACCTGGTAAAAGTGATGTGATTTCTAGAAAACACAACCTGGAGTGAGAACAGGATCCTGTCAGAAAGAATATACACAGAGCTGCAGGAATGACTCGAAGTAGAAACACCTTCTTGGGTTAGAGCTGTGGCTACTGGAGTCCTATCAGGAAGGCAGCCATGGCATGCAATATTCAAACAAATTTAACATTAGAAACTAGGGAGCAAAGTCAAAAAAATAAAAATTAAAAAAACCCCACAAATCTGTAAGTATCACAACTGAAAACAAGTACAGAATTCAGAGCCCACATACCTCAGTTGAACCCCATGCCCCATCCCAGAAACGAGCAGTTATTAACCAGAATTTTAGAGCCTGCCCACCTCTCAACAAAGTGATCATTAGCAGACAGTTCCCAGAACACTTGCCTTCAGCAATGCATCTACATATATGTTGTGCTGGGACATGATCTCTTTGACATCCCATTTCACGTTAGTCATCAGGAGCAGCATCTGTTCATAATCAATAGCTTTACCAGCCACAATCCAGTAAATGGGTTTGCGGAGTTCACTGGCAGTTGAGACTGTCTGAAATGGTCCACAGAAACAAAAACAATTACTTCTAGAAGTGCTACACCTAAAAAGAATACTTTGTCCTTTTGTAGTATGTATCACATACAAAAATACAAATTATATATTTGGAGATTTCAATTAAGAAAATATTTTAACATGAGATAAAGGCTTTGTTCCCACTTCCCCAATCTCTCCTGGTACCTTATTTTGGAATTCCATCCTCACTCACAGCCTTCAAGTGCCCCACCCTCCACCCCTAGGATATCACTTAACATTCTTCATAAATCTCCAAAGATTCCTTCCAAAACAGACATGAAGCCAAGCTGTTCACCTCTTTCCAATCATCCCAAGACCCTCCTGGTACCTTAGAATGAAGTCGAATTCTAGGGTGGAGCACTTCAGGCAACAAGGCTTCTGCTCATCACTCCAACCACCCTCCTCTTCCCTGCTCTGACAACTGTCGTTTTCCTCAGACTCACTTGCATCCCACTCTCTTCTCACTGTCTCTCCAACTTGCTCCCTACCCAGCTGGGTCCAGTTTAAACACAACACAGACACACTTCCTCCTGACAGCCTTGCTAGGCAAACTTCTCCCAACTCAGCTCACTTCTAGTCTGAGTTAAACTTATCTCCAGCTACTGATCTTCAAAGCACTTTCAACAGTGTTCTAAATTCTAATTGGCTTATGCTATCTATGTATCTATGTATCTATGTATCTATCTATCTATCTATCTTCCTTCCTTCCTTCCTTCCTTCCTTCCTTCCTAGCTCGCTCCTCTCTCTCTCTCTCTCTCTCTCTCTCTCTCTCTCTCTCTCTCTCTCTCTCTCCCTCTATCTCTACCTATCTATCATATGTATGTATGTATGTATGTATCTATCTATCTACCTACCTACCTACCTATCTCACCAGACAAAAATTTGTAATGCTCACTAAGATGTTTATTTAACATAGGAAGCCATAAATAAATTAGGATGTTTATCCAGCTCCCCTGGAACTTGATCTCTAGTGATGAACTATCAACTTTAATGATGAATGACTTTCTGTCTTATTCACAGCTGAAATGACAGACCACACCACCTCTGACCTGAGAGTAAAACTGCTGCAGAAAGGGCTTTTTGGCTGCAGGCATCACAGCATCCAGATGTGGCTGAAGGAACTCAAACTGTTCAGCCAGAAACACCCTAAAGAGAATAAATAACCATGGCGTAAACAAATTGCAGGATTTAGAACCTGTCATTGTTGCTGTGTAATGAATCTGTTATGATCAAAACCCAACTGAAAATGCTTTCACTTTAGTGACTTTGTTCTAGGAGCTGGACAAGTTTCTTTAACACCGCACTTATCAGTTAGTGGAAGAGTCACTTCAAGGGACACAATCAGGCTCCAAGTCATGGAGATATGCCCTTTGTCATCTAAGATATGAGCTTGTGTAATATAAGAAAGAAAACAAACAAACAAAAACCCTAAAAATGAAATAAGGCTGTTTTTTTAAAAAAAGGTTTATTTTATGTATGAGTGTTGTGCCTATATATATGCACGTATGCTATGTGCATGCCTGGTGCCCAGCAAGGTCATAACAGGGCATTGGATCCCCTGAGACTGGGGTTATCAAGCCACCATATCAATACTGGGAACTGAACCTGGGTCCTCTGCAAAAGTAACAAGAGCTCTTAACCACTGGGCCAACTCTCCCGTCTGTGGCTTGCCTTTTAGAGGATTTCTTTCAAAGATTCCATTCGATAAATATACAGAAAAGACGATTCAAAACGGAGACTTGTCTTAAGTAACCAAACATTACTAACACAGCACACGGGCTCCTCGGAGGCAGGCACATCTATTCTGGGTGCAGGAGAGGCAAGTGGTAAGTGCGCCTGGACTGTTTATTGCCTGCAGACGCACTACCACTGCAAACCGCTCTTCTTGGCTTTCTGTTATGCACAAGAGAATATTTACCTTACATTGGGCTGCACCTTATGAACAGGTTATATGCTTTAACTAACTTGGGGGTTTAGAAAGATCAGCGAGCATTCTTGCTGATGCCAAAAGTGAATTCTATGTAACGGTAACAACGGACTACAGTTATTATAGATTCTGTGGCCAACAGGGAATAGAAATATACCATTCACTTCTTAAAGTTTCACTTAACAAGGATCATCTTGTTAACTATCACAATGTAACATATTCCCTTACGTTCATTTATACAGTTAAAACCAACCACAAAAATCTAAGGGTGATGGTGCACTGTAATCCCAGTCTTGTAAGGCAGAGGCAGGGGGATCTCTGGGGCTCACTCTTCTCCTGATCTACCATACTTGGTAATCTCTATGCCAATGAGAAACCCTGTCTCAAAACCCAAGTTAACAGTATCAGAAGAATGATACCCAAGATAGTTATCTGGCTCTTATATGTACAAAGACACATACTTGCACTAATAGGAACACTTCTATACACATGAATGGACACACACAGACACACACACACACTCTCCCATGCAATTAAAAAAAATGAATTAGTAGTTTATGCTAACATATATTTCACAATAATGCTTACGTAGTTTAGGAGTAGTAGGAGTAGTAGTATTATACAGCAATAAGTATAATTACACAAGGCTTACTTTTAATAATTTTCCTTAAATAGTTATGGCAAAGCAACTGCTTTCAACAACTTACAAGGATTCTGTGGCTACCACTCTCTCTGCCAACCCATATAATGTATCCCCAGATGTCAAAATCACTAGTTGATTGAGGTGTGGGCTGGGTACCTTCTCCTTTCTTTCTTCTGCTGCTGTGAGCGTGGCAGTAGGATCAGCTGAAACCTCCTAGAAAGACAACACACACAACACCTGAAACAGCAAGTCTACTAGTGCTCAAGCGTGGCTCTGATGACGGAACTATGGTGAGCACACTCACAGGCACACATGCACTGGACACACACTGAGCGTCAGCCCTTCTTTCTTATTGTTATGCTTTGCAACTACTAGAAATTTTCTTTTATACTAAATTAAAATGATGACACAGATCACACGCACTGCATGGCGCCCTATGTACACGACCCAAAGTTGGCCGATGCAGGGAATCTTCATTAACTAACAGCTGTTTCACAGAGAAATACCTCTCAAAATCTGGAAAGCAAGGGACTGATCCTTAACACCTAGTAATAACACTGTGATGCATGGTTTGAGTAACCATTTCACAATCAAAGCTTAACCAAGATAATCTTGGTATAATCTCAAGAAGGCAGGACTAGAATGCAGTTATAAACTTGAACAAAACTAACTGCACTGTATACATTTGGTTCAGATTTTTATGAGAACAAAGATGGTCAGTGTGAATCTAGGTGAAAGATGTGGATGGAAATGCTGCACTCCTTGGCACTGTCGAGGAGAGTGGCACTGAAACAGATGAATGGCCATGTAGCCAAGAGAACTGACAGTTCAGTGGTCAGGAAAACGCTCAAGTTCAAATCCTTTTCAGCTTTACCTGACAGCAGGCTCACATGCAATCTTCTCATCACTAAATGATCTTTGCCAGCACTCAGGTGCCAGGCAAGGAGTAAACAGGGTACACGTTACACACATTCCTGAACATCACAAAAATTTATTTCATATCATAAGTGGTCTAGAGATGAGAGTGCCTTGAGATCTTAGCTAGGGTGCTTGACTGTCAACTTGGAGTACCTGGAGACCAGAAGCTGGACATCCTGGGTCCTTATCACTCCAAATAGTTGAATAGAGTTACATCTGGGTGGACAAGCTTTATGAAACAACCATGAAAACCTGCTGCGGAGAATATTGTCCTCACACCAGTCACTTAAGTAGCCACTACAGTCAATGTCAAAGAAAGATAAATTCATTTACCCTTTTTGAGGGTGACTCAAGGGGGCAACATTACAATTGCATTAAAAAAACTCCATAGTTCACAAATAATACCCAACAATGCTACTGATATTAATCAATTATAACCTTTGCCTGGCTTATAGCACCTTTTCTAGCAATGACTTTGCAATAACATGCATTTATTACATTTTGAAAAAGCTCCTAGAAAAGAAATTCAGAGTTTAAGAGAACATATGTTGTGTACACGAGCAGTAGCAAAGCACTGTGGGAGGGGCTGAAGTGCTTGCCTAACTGCTTCCTTGGTCCTTTCAACACAAATGTGTCGGTCTCACCCTTCACAGATACATCCAAAGAACACTGCAAAGTTTTTACGCTAGCACTTTCCTTTGCTCCTGGTATTAGGCATCAAGTTTTCTGACAATTATTTGTTTACACTGAGTTACACATAAGAAAATACACTCAACTGCACTATCCACCCACAGAAGGGGTCAGGCTGACATAAATGAATGGAGTGCTTATCATGCATGGGAGCAGTAGTGCTGCAGTTTAGCTTGCAGCAGCCTCATGAGCAGAGGAAGAGAAATTTTAATCTCTAAGCACGTCGGAAGTCATGTTTTTACCCTTTGCTGCTGTTATCCTACCACTATAAAAAGAACTTAAATGAACAGATTTTCTGGGCAAATTGAAAATATGTTTTCAAGTTTTTAAACAATGTTCAAGCTGGATGTTGTAGTACACACCTGTAATCTCAGATTTAAGAAGTTGAAGCAGGAGATCAACAGTTTGAAGCTAGCCTGGACTACACAGCAAGGCCCTCTCTCAAACAAACAATGGAAGTTGGCCACAGGTTTTAAACAATTTAGTTATCATCACTGTAGTGGTTTAAATAAGAATGACTTTCACAGGCTCATATGTGAATGCCAGGAAGTGGAACTCTTGGCTAGGATTAGAAGGATTAGGAGGTGTGGCCTTGTTGGAGGAAGTGTGTCACTGGGGGTGGGCTTTCAGTTTTCAAAAGCCTATGCCAGTGTCTGACTCTGTCCCTCTCTGTCTCTCTGCACCCACCCCCTCTCCACTTGTGGATCAGGATGTAAGTCTCAGCTACTTCTCCAGCCCTATGCCTGCCTGCTGCCATGCTCCCTACCATGATGAGAATAGATTAAACCTCTGTAACTGTAAGCAAGTCCCAATTCAATGCTTTCTTTTTTTAAGAGTTGTCTTGGTAAAGGTATCTCTTCATAGCGACTAAGGCAATCACTAAACAGAAGATAAAAGACCTATTTCTGGCAGGGTATCAGCAGCAGCCACTTTCCCATGAACTTTTCCTCTATTAGACCTTACAGATTTTCCCTTGATGTGGAAAACACATTTTCTAAAATTTAAATTGAATTTCTATCATGCTGCAAGCCACAAAAATATACCAAGTAGGATTTCAGCTGATTATGACAAAGCTAATACCTGGAAGAAATCAAGGGCCTTCCAGAGGTTAAGTTGAGGCTCAAGGAGCCTTGGTGATATTTGGCTTTTGATTATCAGCCATTTTCTGCTGTGAGTTTCTTGTGTGCTATTGTAGCTTTTCCATCATTTATTGGGCACCACTTCCCCTCTACTAAAGGAATATTTAGATAACCTTGTGAGCTGACAGGTATGCTCAGCCAGAAAAACAGTTCAAGCCTCCCTGTAATTATCATCATTGGCAACATGTGGCCAGGTCCATCCCCAGACGGAGTTAAGTGCCATATCAGAGATGCCTCTGTAGAACAGACTTAAGTGTCCAGTCTACCTGTTTGAGAAAGCCTGGCGGATGTGCCAATTAAGCTTTACTTCCTCCTTTCCCAAACCTTACCTTTACTTCCAGATCTCCCTTTAACTATCACCAGAGGCATCTAGCTGTACACAGGTTGCCTAGCAACCGAGCACACTTTCCCCCACCCTGCAGAAAAACAGCAGATAGCTTGGACAGATAGGAGCCACAGGAAAAAAGAAGGCAGTTTTATTTTCTCCCACTGAACTAGCAAATTATAGATTCTTAACATTTTCTACCAATCACGTTTAAGACTATAGTGGAGCACATAAGATCCCTCTTCTTAGATATTACTCAAATTTAGCCTTTAGTGAATTCATTAGTCACTTCCCCTTTGGGTTGCAAATGATAATTAACAATTACTGTCCCTCTATGTGATTCTTATCACCCCTCCATATGACCCTGGAAGCCTAACAATCACTGCCTGAGGAAACTCTTACCTGCCTTTAGGACCACACAGGAATTCAAGCCTGGTGATCGTGCTCGACCAGGGGATTGCTATTACTTGGGTTTCTAACTGGATTCCTGAGAGACTTAGGAGGAAATGTGGAGAACAGAGAGACGGAGAATGGAGAAGGATAAGGAGGATTTTGACCACAGGGTACGTATAGACGAGATGGAAGATGAGGAAGAGTCAGATGGGGAAGTACTAGCTGGGTAAGAATGAGATGTAAAGGACCTAGATGAGGCAGAATTAAGACGAGAGAATTAAGACAGAACTTGGAGGGAACAGTAGATTAAGAGAGAGGAATCAGGCAAGAAAGGAGCTAGGCATGAGAGCAGAATAGAAGCTGTGTAGAGAGAGAACCATCACAGAATAATAAAATGTATGGACTTAGGAGTTTCATATACATAGATTCATTTCTTCTCATCAAAGATTAATTATCAGCTGGTTGTAGATTCTTCCCAGACCATGGGAGGGGACTATCAAGGGGCTGGACCCCCATAATTTCCAATACTATGATAAATTACTTCAGGTAGCATTTTTAAGAATCAAAATGGTTCCATTTGCCATTTATAACTTAAAAGTGAAAATCAGAAAATATGTATAGAGAAAATAAAATTTAAAAAGTCTACGTTTTTAACTGGCATGAGGAGTAATAGAAGAAAAAGCATTTCTACTTAGTTCCATGTTGATTGGGCTATTATTTGTCTATCTAAACAATGTCCACTATATTTTCTGTCACTGTGGAAGTGAATTAAAGTTTATATGCTAACTTAAAAACAATCTTAGATCAAGGTATATTAAAGAGCAAACCAATTTTTTTAAAACAACAAATCAAGGCTTATCAGTGCAAAAATATATAGAGACTAACGGGAAAACAAAAATACCACCTAGAAACAAATGTAAAATGCCTTGAAAACTTCAACTGTATTCTAGGAAGTGCTTTCCTGAAGTGGGAACTGGGCAGAGCATTCACAAGCAATCCTTACAAACTGAGGACCAAATGAAGGCTTGATGGTTTCCATATCCTACAGCCAATCTGCTGATTTAAGAGATGGTAAGACTAGCACTTAAAATTAGGACATGTTTGTTGGGGATATTCAGTCATTTAGCATTTGCATTAATTAAATAAAATTAACCTTACATCAGGAAGCTGAGTGAGCAACTAGTTGACAGAAAGTAATCATAGAGCATCAGAGGACATCTGGAAGAGATAGAGAGACACGAGGGGTTTTAAGTGGTGCATTCCCCCGCCCCCCAGCAGAAGAATGGCCCTTTCAAGAGATATCAGCAAGGAAAGAAGGTCAGCTAGTTGCTACTCAGCCTCTCCAAACTAGCAGGTTTTCATCCCAGCCTTGACTCTCAAGCCTTAATTATAAATAGAAAGGTAGAGATTTCGTTAAAGCTACCTGTAGCAGGAGCAACAAAGCCAGTGCCTGTGGGAACAGAATGTCTGCCAGGCTATGGCCTGAGCAGTTAGGCCGTTAACTGCAGAGTCACAATTGCTAGCTGAAACAGCCGCAGATTAAGACACAGTCACTGTGCCGAAGAAGAGAAAGCAAAACGTTAGAAGGAAATATGCTCAAAAAATAGGAAGAAAGGAAGGCATACTGTTTTTTAACATAAGACTGTAAATTTGACAATTTCACCATGTGGGACACATTCATTTAGTTATCACCACAAGAATTAGGCAAATGTCATGGGCATTTTAATGTCAGGAAGATGAATAGCAATGTGTTTCAGAGAAGAACTAGCTTGGGACCACTGTTTACTTGGTTGTGTGATTCCATTATACACCTTATGGCAAACAAGCAGAAGTGACAAAGAAATGACAGAATGATTTTAATGAAGAAGTTAACCCATCAATGGTCCTGAGGCATTCTATCAGTAACAAGAAAAACTTTAGTTGAGTACTAAGATTTACCTAGAATAAGATCTGATGGCCAAAGCCATTCTAAGACAAAATGCATAATGAAACATGGAAAACTATCCAAGTAGGCAAAAGCTATTGACTTTAAAAACAAAGGCAAGCAGGTTAAGAAGGAAATAAATGCTGGGTCAAAAAAAGGAGCCATTATCTAAAAATGAAGATTAAAGATTAACCAACAGCAAAACCTAAAGAAGTCAAACTAAACCAGGATACAAAGATCCTAGGATAGTCTATGCATACTTCCCAGGAGAAGCCAAGGTAAATGCAGTACTACAGCTACACTTTCAGGCCTCCATATTTACGGGTCTGTGTCTATGTGTTCAGCCAATCACAGTTCAAATATACTTGAGGGGTAGGTACACATCTGTACTGAATGTCATTACTTTGAAAGGACACAACATACTACTGTTTATAAAACATTTGCATTGTGTTAGGGATATATGTCATGTACAGATGATATACAATACATAGTTATGTGTAGGTTATATACAAATATAATGCTATTTTTACACAAGGGATGTGAACACAGGTGGTATATGTGGGATCCTGGAATCAACGACCTGCAAATACTTCAGGATATAGATGTGTGAGACCAAATTATCCCAAAAAGGTAGACACTACTTATTTCTTCTACTGTTAGCAATGGTCATCAGAGGCAGCAACACTCAAATACTCCATCACTGCTCAAGGTCACCAACTAAGCACTCTCCATTTGATTTCATCATAGCACTCCCCAGGGCCTGACGTGATATTATATACATTACGGGATATTTTTTGTTTAAATGCCTTCCCATGACAACAAAATATATAATTTAAGAACAAGAGATAAGATTTGCTGCTTTTGTCCACTGACAAATTCATAATACAGTAACAATACTTGACATATAACATTTTAGCTTTTCTTTCTTTTCCATTTTGTTTGACTATTTCATCATTTATATACCTAAATACTTTCTAAGACAGAGTCTTACTGTATAGTCCATGTTGGCCTTGACCTCTCAATAGTCCTTACTCAGCTTCCCAAGGACTGGGATCAGAGTCATGCATCTCCACACCACACTTAGTCATTATTTCTTAAAAGATACATTACCATTGCTTTATAAAAGTTCCAATAACATAAGTATGTATGCACAATAAACATTATGAAAAAAAGAGGAATGTGAATACTTGTTTTGAGTAAGTTAAAGGAAAAAAAGAAAATTAAGATAAGACTGGGTCAATGTAGAGGCTGACAGATGTCTTGGCAAGGTATTTCTCACTACAATGACTGATCAGAAGAAAGAAGTGCCTTTCTAGTTTTCAATACTTATGCTAGCTTTAAAACCACTGAGCATCACCTTCACTTTGCTATATAATCTTAAACCATGCATTCCACCATCTGACATGCCAGTCAAAACCAAGTAGTTCCTGCTACAAAGAAAACCACATCCAAACTTTGCTCTTGAATTCCAAGATGATTGTAAGTGAAGTCAGACACTTCCTGAACATAGATCTTTGGTATCTATCCAATCAGAGATCAGTCAGACTATCAGCAACAGGTTCTTACTTCCTGTAAGACTAAACACTGTAACACTAAAGAGCTCAGACACTCCACAGGTGTACAGATGCAAATTTATATACAGTTGATTTACGACTATTTGTTTCACAAACTCCAGTGAATTAATTCCAACTCTTTACTTACCAGGTCAATAAGGCTTTCTTGTATTCTGTTGAGTGTTGTTCTTAGTCTGCTACTACTGAGGCCAAGTCCTGTGGATTCCAACTGAAAATGAGGAAAAGCACGTCACACAGCTCTGCAGGTACTGCTGCAGAAGACCTGAAGTATTAATGGGCTTTTTAGCTCAGACACTGAGCGTCCGCGGGTTTCCAGAATTTCAAGTTTAAATGCCAACACATCCAAAAGAAAAAATCAAATCTTAGCCCAAAATGAAACAACAAACTATGCATGGCCTTGAAAGTCACAATAACACCTAAAGAGCCTGTGAATTATTAGGAGAGAGTGCATCAGAATTTCTTTCCTACAAGTTAGTATTTTGAGTAACAAAAGTTAAGGTTTTAGATTCTTAAAGATGGTTCACTTTGAAATATATTATCTCTTGTGTTTATATAGAAACAAAAACAAAGCATTGCTATTTTTTTATACACAAATTAAAGAAACTCTATTGTCACTTGGAATGAAATCTTCTTGGGCCTATCAAACATTTGACAGCACTGAATTCTGTTCGTTACAAAGAGTCAAAGCACTCACAGCCGCCATCCCATAGAACATAAATGAGAAAGCCTGAATGCTAAAAGTTAATCAGTCCCTTGTACAACAACTCAATGGATGAAATTAAATTTAATTGAAAGATAATAATAAATACATACAGGTATTTGGAAAAAAGTTAAACCATCCTCTGTGACCCAAGAAACTAAAAATGTTCTTAGTTGTAAACTATAAAATACAATCTCATTAACATAGCCACAGAAATAATGAGTGTGTGATTATGTGAACAGACACATGTACAAACATGCACACATGTTTATTCTTACTTCCCTCTCACCCAAGGTACAAGACTAAAAAGGCTCAAACTAAAGCAGATGCGTGACACACTGTGTGAGCTGATTTACTTATTCAGGCTTTATACGCTCCATTAATTCATCTCTCCCCTCTAAGAATTTATATGAAACTAAATCCATCAATGTAAGTGTGTGATATTCAAAAATTGTTATGATCTTTCAACCAATGTAACTAAACTAACACGCCGAGTTTTCTCCCCTGGGAAAGGCCACCACAGGCTATGCCTTTATCTCCTCCCCATCCTCAACCTCTGACCTCCCTGTATCGCTATGGTTTGTGTTTTCCTAAACAAACTCAGAGAGAATTTTATTTTTGTTGACTTTTTAAAACTTAGTATGCCTTTAAGATTCATCTATGGTGTGAGACTGTTGGTACTTTGAGTTTCTTAATTCTATCTGACACTGTAAACATAGCACAATCCCTAACTGCACATCTGAGTACCAGTTTGGGTTTTTGCATAATACTATCTGGTCTTTGTCTGACCATTACATTTATTTTCATTTATTGGATAAATATCTAAAAGTGAAATTTCTGGGTCACATAATAAATATAATTATAATTCTGTAAGTTACTGCCATGGTAGTTTCTAAACTAGCTATGTCTTTTTTTTCTCCTACAAAGGAAGAATATGAATTCTAGTTGTCCCAAGTCATGAATGGAGTATTTCTCCCCACTGCCCCTACCCCTCACCAGGATGGTTAGCATCTTACCAAGTTCTACTTTGTATAAGAACAAGCTTTTGGTTTCAAGGACTTCTGTCCTCTTGCTTTCAATTTTTCTTTACTATTTATTTCTTTCTGTTCTTTTTTGGGTTTAATTTGCATTTTTTCTACTTTCTTTTTTTGCTTGTTACATTTAAGTCTAGACTCTTCCCTCAAAGCCCTAGTTGAGATGCACTACAACTTTCAGTATGTTATGCTTTCATCATCATCATTCAGTTCAAAGAATTTTCTAATTCCCTTGTGATTTCCTCTCTGAACCCTTCATTTGGATGTATGTCATTTAATTTCCAAATACCTGGGGTTTTCCTAGCTATCTTATTGTTAGTTAATTTCCAACCCAATTACACTGTCATTAGATTATATCTTGCATATGCAAGTCTTTAAAAACTATTAAGATATGCTTAGTGGTCCAGATCTGAAGATCAAATTTTCATCTGGCATCATTACCCTTTAGTCTAAACACTTCTTCAAGGAAACACTCTTAACTGCTAAGCCATCTCTCCAGCCACCAGTTTCTAAATTCTGACTGATGCTCAGTATACTTGAAAGTAACAAATTCTGGGGCAATAGTTTGTTGATATTTTGTCTCTGATTGCACTGGCATCCTTTCCAGGAAACATTCCAGAATTAAAAATATGGGTCATCAGAACCTCTATTAAAGGATCATGTCTTTGGTATACTTGTGACCATGACAAAAATGTAAATATTCACAGAAATGATGTAAGTATACATTAAAGTTTACACATTTTCAAAAGGGAAACACATCAATAACAAGTTCTTTCTATGAATCAGGGGTCCACTCTCACACAGAAAACTTGCACAAATGCAGGCAGGTTGTACAATACTTTCCAGCATGAGATGAGTCACTAACATTCAAGTAGAAAGAGATAAATTCAGGAAAAGCCTGAACATGAAAAGAAAGTATAGGAGACATAATTCTGAGGAAGGCAGATGTACCAGTTAGCAAAATTAATTCCTTAATAAATATCTATGCTACAGTTGTGAGCCAATACTTAAAAAGCTGTCTCAATTGCAGTGCAATAATTATACATAGATCCAAGTTTACATAAAGAAGTCTGCACATTTTTCATTGCCAAAATATATCTCAAGGTTAGAAAAGGCTGTTTCATTTTTTCTGCCAAAGATATGAACAATATGCAATATTTATCATACCAAAGATTAAAATTAATATATAAACCACACAATTAGACAGACATCTGACAACAATTCCAAAATTTATGGATAATTCTCAATAGTGTTACCCACTCACACAAAATATAAAACTTACACATATATATGTAATTAAATACATATATAACTTAAATATAAAAAAACTTCCCATTTGAGAAAATGAATGCATTTGAAAAGAGATTATTTTCCCTCCAAAAGTTGACTTACTGAATCATTCCGACCAAAAAAGGTATATATTGCATACAAGTAATAATCAAACAGCTGGGACATAAAATGGATAACATCAAAGGCGATTGGCTTAAGAATGTTCATCATCTGCATGTACTTCCCTGAAAGGAAACGAGAACCCAAAGATTAATTAAAACAAAATTAAATTCTGTTACTCTATAATTACTGAAAGGCAATAAGAATGTTACATTAAAATATTTAAATAGTGAAATATTGCATTCCTCCTCACATGAGTGGAATTTCTAGTACTTGGCAGTAATTAAAACAGTTCCAGCATCTCTGCAATGTTCTATAAGGCAGCTCTTCGAATGCTCCTACTACCATGTTTCCCTGCCATTATAGTGTATTGCTTGCTTGTCAAATTCTGATGGACTCCTTCACTCTTCTGCAGATGACACTGTAAAAACACACAATCCTTGTTCTCAATGATTCTACTGAAAATATTGTCTTCAAAAATATTTAACTGCAGTAAGGTAATATAATATACAAGATACTTGAGAAAAAGGGTTTTTGTTTGTTTGTTTGTTTTATCCAGAAGATCACAGATACACAGCAAAAGTGAGAAAACTGAGAAAAGTGTCCATGGGAAGCAACACCCATGCCCTTCAAACTTAGCCCTGTGAAATCGTGTCAAAGGTCAACAACATTTATCACATCACAGCCACATAAGTTCAATACCCTCAAAAGTGTCAATAACACAAACACTCTTTCTTTTGAGGGAACCCTATGTCCTCTTCTAAACATCTGCTCAGACTGAGCTTCCCTCAAAATTAAGAGACAAATACCATTTACCAATTCATCTGAAGGACAGAAGAGGAGCGAGTGCAGTTTTAACTATCGAGAACACTACTCCAAGTCTCCAGTTAGGTTTCTTTTCTAACAGGAAATATGTAGACCCATGAAAAATGCTTTATCTATACTTCCTTTATAGACATAAAATATTAAACCAGACCATGTGTTGAATTTCAAAATAACCCAGGTCCTGGCTCAACTCCATGTAACCTGTAGCTATAGATTTTAAATTGGCACTATTAAAGATAACAAGATTAAAAAACAAAAACAAAAAAACATACATTAACTGCAGTAGAGGAAAAGAAAATGTCTGCTATCTATGCCATTTCTTCAAAGTGAGAGTATATTATCTTAACTTTTATGACAGAAAATTCTAAGAGTCAGATGGTGAGGAAGAAAATAAATGCAAATATATCAAAGTGAAATAAAACCCATCAATCATCAATCAATCTATTCATGTGACTGTTTGCAACTCTTTTGTTTAAAAATAACTTTCGCAATCATTTCATACATCCAGACCTTTCCCTAAAAGTCACATTTGAAAAATACCTGAATGATTTGCTCCTTGAACATTTCAAGGTCACTCTGCCAGCATCTACTCAGCTACAAACACACAATTTTCTAAGCAGCATCTTGGTAACAGGTAAAGTAGCATGACCCCAGAAAGGAAAAGTATAAAAATAGCCTATTACTCCAGTCATTTAAAGAAAATAATAGGTGGTTAATTAGAAAATCAGCGCTCCTACACATCCTCTCTTCATCTCTACTAATATGAACCATTGCTCATATAATCCTAAGACACATAGATAATTTCTCAGTGGGTAAAAGCAATTTAAAATATATGCCTAAAAAAGCAAAACCATTTTTTCTTCAATACTAAAAAAGCAAAAAAGCATGAATCAATAAGCCCTTTTGGAATACAACAATGCATTTGGCCTTGTGTTAAAGTATGAAGAACTACACAGAGTCCCAGCTCTCACACCTCAAAAGCCTGCAGGTGAAAGACAGCACGGATCAGAGGCCCCCAGAGTATTACAGTACATAACAGGGAGAAATGTCTTTCCAATGCAAGGGGGCAGAGCAGGCCCACAGTCTTTGGGTTCTGGGGAGGCTGGCATATATCCTCGGAGCTAACGAAATTAAAGACTACAATGAATTAAGCCCATGTCTATGAAGAGAAACAAGTAGGAAGGAAAAGAAAGGTAGGTTTGAAGAAAGAAAAGAGAGACAGACAGACATACACACAGAGAGATGAGGGGTGGGGGAGAAGAAAAGTCTCAAAATATCAGAATGGGTTGGTAAATCTTTGCCACAAAGGACCAAGTTGTAGGTAATTTCACCTTTGCACACCACACAGTCTTTATGGCAAATGTACTGTGCCACTGGTCTTTTTTTAAATCTGCTTAATTCTGCTACTATAAAACAATAGGGGCCAGCCACAGTTGGCAATGTGTAAACAAATGAGTATGCCTGTATTCTAATAAAACTTTATTTACAAAATGAATGTGGTCCATATGTAAGAGTTTGCCAATTCCTGTTCTAGAAAAAAAAGATGATGGATGGACAGAGCTGGGTCAATGGTTTATTGGTTAAAAGTACTGCTCTTGTAAAGTGCCAGAGTTCAGTTCCAAGAATACATGTTAGGAGAGTCACAGCCCTATAAATCTAGCCCCAGGGGGATCCAGCAGCCTCTGCAGGCACTTGCACAAGCAAGAGTATGAGCATGCGCGCGCGCGCGCGCGCGCGCACACACACACACACACACACACACACACACACACACATTATTTAAGATAATCAAAATGCATCTTAAAAATAAAAATGATAGAAACAGGTTGATGGAAAACATTAAGATGCCAAAAAGTCATTAAAGGCGCCTCTGGGAAGGTGGAAGGTTCCCAGCCAGGCAGCAACTTCAGAGTCAAGCTAGCACAGCAGGGGAGGGACAGACAGGCTGAGAGTGATGAAAGAGATCCATGGGAGACACCAGGCACTGGTCTCATTCCCCACCCCCAATGTCCTCCCATCAGCAGTTGGAGGAATGACTGCCAAGCTTACAAAACCAATGTCCTTAGGATTTCTTTCTTAAAAACAAAACAAAAAATTAAATAGCAGGTGACATTCTCAGTAGCTGAAACAATGGGCTTCAAACCCATTGTTTCCAAACAAAAGGGCGAGAGGAACCAGGGTTCTTCCTAAGCCCAAGAGGTCCCTGAAAATCAAACCCTTAAATGGCTTTGACAGGAAAGGAAGGGAGGAAGGGAGGCAGGCAGGCAGGTAGGCAAAAAGAAAGAGAAAAAAAAAAGAGAAATGTTAATTTTGACCGCATACATTACATGGTTTTAAATTCCCAACAGGAAAGTAAAACCAAGGATTAAAAAGATTGATATGATCTTTAAAAACCAAAGGGAATGTACTCTGTAGACAGAGGCTTAAATTCACATTCACTAGTGAATCTCTTTTTGATAAGGAAAATGCTGTCCAGACATAGGGTATCACTTCCTTGGCTCAATTCCAACACTGTGGTATCTACATACCACTTGAAGTCAAGAGACATGTCCTCTGGTGTTTTAACCTAAAACTCAAATGGTGGGTAAATCTCCCCCACACCCCATCCCCTTCATGCCATTTGAGAGAGACCTCACACTGCGATTCTAGCCACTTGACCAATAAGCTCCTGAAAGTAGATTATTACTCTCAGACTAGTGTAACCTCAGGAAAAAATACCCTGAGAATGAACCCAATGGATAGACAGATGTCTTACGAGCCCATCCAAAGATCCTAACAGACTTTAATTAAAACATCTGAGAAGTCTGGCATCTCCTGGTTCTCTGCCTCAGTCTTATAATGGTCTTATAATGGTAAGCCACTGCATTAACCCATGCCTACCCCTAGTACAATGAATACTTTCCTCTGCGCAAAGGGCTCCAGCTTCAGTTCTCCGAAATCCCCTCTTGCCTTTACATCCCCTCATCCAGGCCAGCCAACAACTTCCTTTGTTCCTTACACCAGCTCATTAGACAAATGGGACTAATGGTTCACTTTCAGAGTTACCTAAACAGCCCCATTTGAGGGGTACCCCAAAAGCCACATCTGACAACCCCACTGAGCTTGAAACAAAACAGATGGACCACAGTGCCTAAATGTCAGTTAGGGACTCTTCAGAGGGGAGACTGATGAGAACGGGGGGCTAGAACCTGGACAAGCAGACTTGGTGATAGGGTCCCCCAAAGCACCAGTTCCATGGATGTTTTTCGTTCCCTGGTCAGCAAAGACAAAGAGAGCTGTTTCCTTGTCTCCCCCTAAATGAACACCCTGCCTACAGACAGGTAACTTTTCCTTTTCTTCTCTCCAGTTTTCCTGTTGGGTGCTGGCCAGAGCCTGAGTATGCTTTCTTTGATCTTTTTGATGTTTTTACCATTGCTCTAAAGTGCCTTTGCCCTCCACGTGGCTGCTCCTCTGCCGTGTGAATGACCTCCGTGACTAACCCAAACATCATGGCTCTCTTTCTCCCTCTTAGGCTCTCATTTAGGAATCTATAATAAAGTTCTCTAAACTCAAACAAGACAAACGACCAGCTGAGCAACTGAACTTATTAAGCAAGCCAAGGCTTATGAAATGGGTACAGGCACCAGATTACAATCTACCTTACCTTGGGATTCCAGGGCTCTGTTCCCATAAAGCAAAGGTTGCCAGGAAGCTGGCTGAGGCCACTTTATTCTGTAGAATAAATGCTTCTAAGCACAGATTTCACTGAGAGGCAGCAACTAGACCAAACCAGTTCAAATTCCTGGGAAGATTCCCATGACAGCTGTCTAGACCTTGACCTTAGACATGAGTAGATAATCAAACGCCACCAAGGGACTGACATTACAGAGAAGCCGGTGACAGAAAACAGGAGAGTAGTCATGGAGAGGACGGAGAAAAGCAGGGTGAATATGGAAGGACTCTCAGGGACTAGAAATAGAATTTTAAAAACCAACAAGCAAACAAATGGAATGGACAACAGAAGTCTCCTAAAAGGTCCTGGAAAGTGACAAGAATATGGGAGAGGATTTAAGGGGAATTGAGAGTGCAGGGCCAATTCAAGAGACTAGGCACCAGTGCAGCAGTGGGAAACAGGAGGTGTCTACACGGGGACAAGGGGAACACTCACAAAGTTCCAGAGAAAACAGACTTTTCATGGAGAGTTCTGTTCACAGATGAACTGTCACTCAAAGGAAAGAGCACAACAAAGACATTGTCAGACCAACAGGAATGCAAAATATTTAGTGCTCACATTCCTTTTCTGAGAAATGACAAGATCAACAGAACAAGAGTCTACCTCTGTACTGCTGTCAGGGAGCTTCGGGGTGTCTCCTGCTTTTTCTCAGGAGCCACAGTATTCAGGGTGCTCCTATGAGATTTACTACCTTGACAGATGCAGAAGGCATGGCCCTGAAGTCAGCACGCCAGCTTTAGAAAGAGTGGCCATTGCATCTGATATCCACTGAACAGTTAGCTAACACAACCCAGATGGTCAGGAGAGGCTGTGAATGCCATGCACTATGGGAAAGTCATATGTCTTCTTCCAAGCTATATGATCTCTTTTCTAGTCTGGGAATAACTTAACTCTGTCCAGAAATGGGAATTAGTATCCATGATTTCCCCTCTGGTTGAGAAGCATGGAAATTAAGAACTTATTGGCTTTAGGAAAGGACAGCCTGGATTCTCCCACCTACCTCACACATCCCACAAGGTCTCTGAGTTCCAGATGTTTAAAAAGGTAATTACAAAGAATTCCAAGACATCAAACATTCTCAGATGATACACAGGTTAGAATCTCAGCTGTTGGTGTTACTTTAAGAAAATTATAATTATGATGAATGCATTAGAAAGGAGCATGGGATGCTGCCTAATGGAAACCCAGTCCAATCTAAAGACAGGGAAAAGCTTCACAGAAACACTTCAACCCTTCTTCACAACTCCAGGCCTAGGGAAAAGATACAGAAGGACAGAGAAGAAACCAAATGTAAGCATGGACAGAACCTAGAATTAAGAGACATAGCAGTCTGCCTTGGCCAACTCATCAATAGAAGACACAGAGAAGAATGTGGCTACCTCCAGAACGACACAGCCAGGGAAACAGGCTCTCCTCAATCAATATCCACACCTCCTATGTGGGAAAGGGAATGCAGAGGGTAAAGGAAGCACCCAGGGTGGAGGGAATTCCTGGCACTCGGGTAATGACCATTGGGAAAGAGCTTCCCTAATAGTCAAAATTTTAAACATTAAGGTTCTATAGACACTGGAGATCTACAAAAGTGAAATAATCTAAAGCTGTTTTTAAAGCAAATTTATATATTATAATAACATGTATGAAATAGCAGTATTAATGTTAATATTGTATACAGTCTAAAGAGTGCATACATTTTTCCTTACACACCATGTATGAAAATACTGCTTTCTAATTTTAAAATGAGCTTATGTCTCCACCATGGGGTCTTTTTCAGTAGCTCCTACCTACCTTTTGGCCACATTTTCCTGATCTTATTTCCCACCCCCACCCAACAAGCTTGACACATGCCTACCAGCTGAACCACAGTGCGCTCTAAACATTCCATGTGTTGCACACATTGTTCTTTCTATTTAGAATGGCTTTATCAATTTCCTCATCTATGAGAATATATTCAACTTTCAAAGTCCACTAGGATGTCAGCCCCATTCCCAATAACCCATTTAATCATTAAATAAAAGGGGGAAAATTAATCATTCTTTCTCCCTGTCTCTTCTCTGCTTATTTATGCTGATAAAATAGCCTAAGTTTTCTCTTTGGTGTGTTATTTCCTATGTTGGTCTCATTAAGTGCAAGGACTAAGTCCTTTCCATGACTCTTATATCCAGTAGAGAGCAAATTGCCTGAAACAAAGCAGAGATGCTCAAAAGAAGAGTAAAAAGATTAAAACATAACTTCCTTATTATAGAAAAGTAGGTAAGAGATATAAACAAGAGTTCAAAAATAAATAGAAATGTAGTTTAACATATGAAAAGATGCTTGAACTCAATCATTCTTAAATTCATATTTGAATGAGATGTCACTTAGCATATTGGACCGACATCTCAATCTATGCGATGAACAGTGTTAGTGAGACTGTGAAACCAGTCCTCCCAGATTGCTGGCAGAAGGGCAAACGAATAGAACTTCTGCAGTCAAACTGAGAATGACTATCAAGCTGACAAGGTGTACACTCTTTAATCCAGTTTGTCCTAAAGTTGTATTTTCACATGAGCAAAATTATTTCTTCCAGAATACTTGTCGTGCCACGGTTTGTCATGTCATGTCATGTCAAACGAAACAACAAATGTTCAAAGATAGAGAGTGGTAAGTGAAGTTACACACATCTACACGTCAGGAGAGAATGTAGAAGAGAGAATGGAACACATTGCAATATACCATACCAAGATACTGTCAATGAAACCTCATGGAATATGAAATGGGGAAAGGGCATGATAAAGAATAGTATGCACAGTGTGATGGAAGTCTTGAAACCAAAGTAAAATCAACCAAATAAGGAGGTGTATACTATACACACTTGGAAAAGCACATGAGCACTTCTAGTAGAAAACAGGAGAAAGTTGGGTGCTTTCTCCAAAGAAGGGGATCTGGACTTTAAGGGTTTTGTTTAAACTTGGAGGCATTTTATTTTAAAACTCTTCTATACATTATCTTTCAAATTAAAATCCTCAGTAGTAAAATAAATAATAAAATAACAATGGCAGTGAAAAACAAATGTGCCAATGAAGGAATGGGTCTCTTCCATCGTATGCAGGCCACACTAGCCACACCACAGCCACACTCGGCCGCACTATCCCTAAGACCAATTTGCTTTCATTTTAAGTGCAGAGGTTTGAGTGTGTATTTGTTGTTGTAAGCTCTATAAATGTTAGAAGTACGGCCTCTGCCAACGTTTCTCCTGTCTTTTGAACCTATTAACCACGTTCAAGTGAAAGATGCCTCAAGGAGCAAACCCTTGAGTGCCAAAGCCCTGGTGAGACAGACAGACAGACAGACAGGCTCTCTAAGAGCTTCTCACAGGAACACAGGCAAGCCTTTCTGCTCACATGGCACATCCGGCCATCACTCCTCCCTATCAGTGGGAAGCCTCCCCAGCCTCTGAAATGGGGAGCCCCACTAACTTTTTTCTCTTATTTACACAAGGAGAAGCACTACCTTTGCTATTCAGTCTTCAATCATTCAGCAGTTAGAGACACCCCTCACCTCCCGACCTCCCAGCCCCCCTCCCCACCTCCAGCCTCTCACCCCCACCTCCTGCCCTTGCCTTGAGTGGCTCTCCTCAAACTCTACTCTATGTGTATTCACAAACTAATGAGAAAGGCACCCGCAGGGAGACAGCCAAGTCCACAGAGGGGAGATGGGGGTGGGACAGTAAGATAGGAATGATTTCTAATAGACACAGGAGAATGCACACCTTCAAATTCCTACATCAACCAAAAAGGGAAGAGCTGTGTCTGATGCTTGGATTTAACAGAAGGAAACATGACAGCATCCTTGCTCACTTTGTTTTAATGTAATAAAATATTCAGACTAAGATGCAATGACTCCTCTAGTCACTTGAACTGGGTAAGGTTTAAAAAAAAAAAAAGACCCTTTCTATGTGGCCAGCAGCATTACTTTCATTGTTTCCGCATTCCCTATCAGGATATTATCCACATCTCTTGGCCACAGCACTGCCCCAAACACTTCCTGTGGCTAAAGCTGATACGGCACAGCTGCTTCTAATTTAACACATTCAGCAAAACCAGACAAACTATCTCAAGCAGTGTACGCAATACATAAAAAAACTTCTAAGTCCCAGGAAGTTAAGAAAGACGACAAGGCTCCTGGCAGGTTTAGAGGACCTATCATAAAGAGCACAGGAGTGAGTGTGAAGGCCGGGGGTGGAAGGCAGCAGGAAGTACAGACAAAAGACTACCTTCACATATTTGAGAAGTGACAGTGCAAAAACTCGAGCACAAAAAAGGCTCCTTGAGTCAGACCAATTCTAACAAATAGAACCAGGAAAAGAATCTGATTCAGCACAGGGAAGGGACTTTTAGCAATAGATCAGTCTAAGAGTAGAATAAGTAGCCTTGTGATTAGCTTCGAGCGACTCTGAGTCATCAAACAAAAGCTTGACAGGCATCACATATTATGGACAACCACTGAAAGAAAATCTCATTTGGGGGGACTTATACCAGATGACCTCTCAGCACCCTTCCAATTCTGGTTCTGCAAATTCTAAAGAGTTATTCATGCCAATTCTGCTACTTCTCCTGGATAAAAGAAGAAAAGCTAATTCTCTTGACAATAATTAGCCACAGAATGGCTTTTTAGAATCTGTCTTTTTTTTCTGGGGCTTGAAAATGTATACCTTTTCTTCTTATTTCAATATGACTTTTGCATATTTTTCTCTAAAGAACATAGGACTAAAGCATTTTGCACATTTTATCATATTCATTGATGATATTTAGAAATTATCTTAAATAACACAGAGCATTTCATCAGAACTGAAGTCACTCAAACAAGGCAGTAGATAAATGGCATCTTTACAAATAGAACACAGAGATCCTGCAGCCACCTGCTAAAATCCCTGATTGGTGTAGACAGCCTGTGAGAGAAACTCTCCTAACTTATCTGTCAAATGTATGGACCTATTTGTGAAATATAAAGGCTGAAAGAATGCAAGATGTTGATATACCGACATTAAAAATCGATATCCCCCTTGGAGCTGTATGTTTAGGATGGCATTTGTTCCTGTTTGCCTTCGATGAGATCATCTAAAGGTCTCATCTGTAACGAGACACATCCTGCAACTGGGATGTTTCCTCTGTGAAACCCCCTGTCTGAGAAGAGCAGGCAATCACTATTCACTCTGCTTATCTGACAGGAAGGCTGGGAAGCTCTATGAGGCAATTAAACTGAAAAATATGGTGCTGTGAAACTGGCACTATCACCTTGTACACAGACCTCTAACTCAATCAACTGGAATGCTTCAGAAAAATTAGAAGATACAATAACTGAAAAAGTCGCTAACTGAAGAAGCGAACGGACAGTGACATTTGTGGATGACTGTGTGAGCACTCACAAGGTAACAAGCACTGACATGGAAGACTCTTAAGTCTTTCCCTGCAGCAGACACTAAGTAATCATCCAAAGAAACTTAAGTAAAACTATTTCGGTAACTAAAGCAAACTAACGTAACTGAGGTAACTTTTAAAAATAGAAAGGTACAGCTACTCACCAACAAGTCTTATTACATTCAATGTTGTGTTTGTTAAGATGGGCGCGTTCACTTTATTTAGACTGTAATCTGATTTCTTCCTGCTCTTAAGGGTCTCTCGTGAAACACTTCATATGGAAAACAAGGGAGAAAAGCCTTTAGATTGCAGACTAATAAACCAGCCAGTTACTCTGCTTTTTGTCTAGCTCCTACTCACAAATTAGTTACTGAAATCCTACACACAGGTGAACTCACAGCCCAGAGGGAGGAGAAGTAATAAACAAAGTGATGAAGTTCTAGAAATGTATTTCTTTGATTCTAGGCATTCTGAAGACTCCACCTTAAGTACCTGTCAACATTTGTATTTCTTTACTGAATTCAGTTTTCAAATTCCAAATAGTCTGCTATTTTATTCCACTTTCGTCTGTGTTTTTTTTTTTGGACACCACTCTGCTGTGGAACAATCTTTGTACACTGTGAATATGTATTACTCGCATTGGTTAGTAAAGAGCTGACTGGCCTATAGCTGGGCAGGAAGAGATTGGGCAGGAGAGCCAGGCTAGCAGGACACTGGGAAGAAGGGCACAGTCTGAGGAGTTCCAAGCCAGATGCAGAGGAAGTAGGATGTATAGAAAATGAGGTAACAAGACATGAGCCATGTGGTAGAACTTAGATGAGAAATATGGGTTAATTTAAGTTGTGAGAGCTAGTTAGTAACAAGTCTAAGCTATCAGCCGAGCATTTATAATTAATACTAAGTGTGGTTACTTGGGAGCTGGCTAGAGGGACAGAAAAGTCTGCCTATACCACTCAGTCATTTACTGTTCTCTTTTAAATTCCTTGAGTTGTTTGTTATGTTTTTAACTCCTTAGGATCCCCGATGAAGTGAGTGCTTTCAAGTTCTGAGTCCTGGGGTTCATCTAGAGGATTACAGTTGTTTTTGTGATGTGCCTTAGGCAGATGGGCTGCTTTTATTGTATGTCCGATGTAAGGCTGAGCCAGTAAAGGAGCTGTGACTAAGCCTGGTGTATGGGAATGGCAATCATTCTAAAACCTGCATCATTTCTGAAACACAGGTTTTTCTATCAAAGTTATACGCCTAGGCATAAATGTATCAAATCTATGGATTTCAGAAACTTATGAGAAAAAAAAAACATCCTCTATGGAATTGGAATTAAAGGAAGATATGATGACTGAGTATGAGGTTAATGGGTGACAGTATTTTCAAAAGCAAAGCAGAAATTATATGGTAAGGCCACTTTTTAAAGGGTATGAGGTCATAGGGAAAGATGAATATAATCAAAATGAATGAAATTCTCAGAAATTAGTAAAAATACTTTGAAAGGGTGTGGTTATGTAACAGGTAGAGAAAACAGAGTTGACCAGAACTTCACCATGCTGCCATGTACAATACATGGGCAAAGGCAAGTGCCAGGGAAGAGGCAAGCAGAGACCAGGCCACCAAAAGCATCAAGCCTGAGGAGTACAGGGGTTCTCTAAATGCAAAGGTGAGCCAATAAAATATAAACCAGAAAAAACACCATGGAAGTGAATCAAATTTATATCTAAGAAAAAACTCTAAATGCACAGCTAGAAACAGTTTAAAGGTGAGAAAGTCTGGAGACAAGGAGCTAAAGCAACTCCAGCAAAAATGAAAATCCACATCCATGAGCAGCAGACACTACCTTACATGTCAATTTCAACTAAAACAGAGCTTTCCCTTTGGCCAAAATATTTCCTAAACATATCCAATAATAAATTCAACAAAATCATCCTGTTCAGCTCTAAGATCTGTTAATGTTTTAAATATGCAAAACCCAATAAAACCAAACCTTCCCAATCAATATATTTACAACTATATGGACTGCTTACAACTGAAGAATTATCTCAGTCAAGGTTCCAAGTTAATCAATTATTAACTAAGTGTAAAGTATACTTACATCTATCATTTAAATATATGTGTGCTATTAATTAAAAATATCTGACATTAACTCACTTCAGCATAAAAACACCAGGTCCACTGAAAAGGATAGAGGTGACAAAAATTCTTAATAAAATTATCATAGTTTTGAAGAGTAGAGGTTATCATAAAGCAAAACCTAATCCTAGCAGGGAACCTTAACAAAATCAAATACAGACTCCAAAAGACTGGAAAAGTAGAGGAGACACTGTATTTACAAGATCAGTGCAAAAATGATTGATCTCTAAACTGAAAGCTCTTTGATTAGGCTCAATATTTTCATGAGATGATAGAGTGGTAATATTTCTTATTCTGTTAATGACATTTATTTGTTGGGGTGGCAGTGGCGTGGGTGCCGCGGTGCATGTGTGGAGGTCACAGGGCAATGACAGGAACAGGTCCTTTCCTATCATGTAAAGCTGGGGCTCAGACTCGGGTCCTCACACCTGGCGACAGATGCCTTCGCCCACTAAGCCATCCCACCAGCGTGATTCTCTAATTCTCATAGAGAAACAAGCACATGGATGGAGAGAATTTTATGAGACCCCAGTGCTAGACAAAGAGCTACAGGCAATTATTGGCTGCTAAGAGAGTGAAATCAGTCTGTCTCAGCGACAAGCCCCTTAGAGGTTATGTAATCCCAAATGGTCGGCCCTAAAGCCATATATCAACGATCAACATAAAATGGACTGAGCAGACTATATTGTATGCATGTGTGTATGATGGATGTGTGTAACAAAAATACTTAAAAAAGACTTCATGAATTTGAGAAGGAGTGAAGAGAAACATGAGAAGACTTGGAAGGGGAAGAAGATGAGCTGGAAATGATGTAAATGTAGTACTCATATATTAAATTCAATAAAATAAATAAAAACTTTAAAAAGAAATTAGAATATTGCTGCAAAAATCAATGGCAATGACACATATGCACAAAGATATCATAAGACATTGCTCTGTGCAATCAATGTACAAAAAAAAGAAAAACAGGTTGGTATCTGTGAAGGAAAGTGTTCTGTGGGACAAAACCATTGACTGAATGAGCAAATTTCAGAGTAATTTTTATAATGTTAAATATACTGTATAAATCAAAAGAAAACATTTAAGCATGTTTAGCAAAGTAGGATCAACTAATACTTTCTGAGCCAGTAACAGTCAAATTCCATCAAGTAAACTGATTTGTGGAACACCAAGTTAGGCTTTGCTTAACTTGAGTTTTTCATATAAGTATTTTATTCTTTTTCCTGAAATTTCACCGTTATTGGGGGAAACCTACCTACTCAAGTCTTTCAGAAATCATATTTTTAAGGTACATGAATTGCCGCATTATCAGTAACCACTTAAAATTTTAATTTTTGTTCTCTCTTAACCTTCAAAGGAACGTAAGAACCACCCAGTCCCCATCAGTCACCTCTTCACGGGCACATCGCCTGTCTGCTCATCCACATAATCCCGCTTCAGCTCTTCAGGAACATCACTGTCGCTGTCATACTCCTGATAGGCGCTCTTCTCCTGCTCATCAGACTCATACTGAAGAGAACACAGTGGCATATGCAACAATGGCACACAGGATCACTTTACTGCAGTCTCTCAACACAAGAACGTGTGCAAGTTTAAAGAAACGGCTAAAGGAAAAGTCTTAATGTAGTTTTAATTTCACCATGAAGAATCAAATTCTCCTCCCATTTTCCTTTTTCATCTTACTTTAACCAGCTCAAAAGTAAAAGAAAACAAAAATATCATTTGTGTTGCTTATTTGTAAAAGAAAACTTAAACCAAATATTCACAGCCACAACTAATACCCCACTGGACCTCAAAGAAGGAAGAATGTATGTATTTTAGACTTAAAACTATCTTCTGATGGTTTTGTAATATTTGCTTTCAAGTTGTGAGCTCTTTAGAAGGTTGAGGATCCAATTCTAGCCCTAGCACCACTACTTCAGCTTCACAAATACACTCAGCATACAACTGATCATCTCACTATGAGGATGTTCAGCTGCATGGAGAGCTGAGAAGGTAACACTTAGCAGCAAGAGGCCTCTTAGGAGGCTCACTGCTGAGATGAGGATTCCTTCCTGACATCTTCCTTGTCCTTATGGCACTATGGACCAATACAGCAGGGAAACCGTGGTAACACACCATCGTCATCATCAGTGTCAGACATGCAGTGACTAACTACTGGCGAGCATTCCTTGCAGCTTTGACCATGTACTGTGCCAAGTTCTCTCAGTAAATCGATCTCTTGAATCCTAAAAACTCCATATAGAGCTTAACCACATACATAGTTAAGTCTTAACCTCCTATATATAGCTGAGGAGACCAACATGATAAAAACATGGACAGAAGTTTGTGCCCCTAATTCAATTACTTTTGGATAATCTGTTCCTGGGTTATAATGTCAGGCCTTATTCAGATATGAACCAGAGTCCCAAGAACTTAGATTGTATCTGGAAAGATGAGATTCTACACTACAAATTGTTTTTAAAAAAATCATGACATTTCCCTGTATTTAGATATAAGGTGATCCTATCAACATACAGACAAAAATTCTGCTCAGGAGGCAGAGGCAGGTCGATCTCTGTGATTTCAAGACTAGCCTGGTCTACAGAGTGAGCTCCAGGTCAGTCGGAGTCAGAGAGAAACCCTGTCTCAAAAATCTGCCCCAAATAGGTTTCAAAACTAAAATAGAAAACTAAAAATAGATCTTCTCAGACATAAACAATTCACATTTGGTTTCATCAAGTATAAAATTAAAAATCATAGAGGGTTCCTCTGGAAATTACAGAGAACAAAAGGACAAACCAAGTAATATCCTGGGTCAAATGACATGATTTTGAAAGCAGGCTACAGAAGACTGTGAGACAGGAACTGCTCTCTACTACAAATATGGACAGACCAGGAGGCACAAATGTAAAGTAAGTAGTCAAGGCCCACACAGCTAACAAACTGGTGTGATGTTACTGCATCTAAACCCGTCCTACCAGCTAAGCAATTCCTATACTGAACATTATTTCAAGCTGCTCAAAGGATTGCTAAAAGATCACACTTTGGAATCCTAACTGCTAAAACCCTTGTCAGGCAACTAGGTCGTAATTCTGTGGTGGTTTGAATATAAATGGTCCAATATATTTGAATGCTTAGTTATCAGGGAATGGCACTTTTTTTTTTTTTTAACTTTGGGATAATGTCTTATGTAGGCTGGCCCCAAACTTTTGAACTCCTCATGTACGAGGGTGACCTTGATCTTTTTTAATTTTATTTTATAATTTAATTTTACATATCAGCCATGGATTCCCCTATCTTCCCTCCTCCTGCCCCCCCTCCCCCATTCCCACTTCCTCCAGGGCAAGGACTCCCCTGGGGATTCAGCTCAGCCTGGTAGTTTCAGTCCAGGCAGGTCCAGTCCCCTCCTCCCTTCACCCAGGCTGAGCAAAGTGTCCCCGCATAGGCCCCAGGTTCCAAATAGCCAGCTCATGTACTAAGGACAGGTCGGGGTCCCACTGCCTGAGGGCCTCCCAAACAGTTCAAGCCAATCAACTGTCTCACTTATCCAGAGGGCCTGATCCAGTTGGGGGCTCCTCAGCTATTGGTTCATAGTTCATGTGTTTCCATTCATTTGGCTCTTTGTCCCTGTGCTTTTTCCAACCTTGGCCTCAACAATTCTCCCTCACACAATCCCAACTCTTCCTCACCGATTAGACTCCTGGAGCTCCACCTGGGGCCTGGCCATGGATCTCTGCATCCACTTCCATCAGTCACTGGATGAGAGTTCTACCACGACAGTTAGGGTGTTTGGCCATCTGATCACCAGAGTAGGTCAGTTCAGGCTTCCTCTCAACCATTGCCAGTAGTCTACTGTGGAGGTATCTTTGTGGATTTCTGGGGACCTCTCTAGCACTTTGTTTCTTCCCATGGGGTCTTCATTTATCATGGTCTCTTTTTCCTTGTTCTCCCTCTCTGTTTTTGATCCAGCTGGGATATCCCACTCCCCTAAGCTCTCTTTCCCTCGACCCTTGCCCTTCATTACCCCCCTTCATGTCCAGTTTGCTTATAAAGATCTCATCCATTTCTGTCGTTGGGTGATCCCTTTCTTGGGGTCCTCTTTTCAAGGTAGCCTCCCTAGAGTTGTGAGTAGCAGTCTAGTCATTCTTTGTTTTACATCTAGTATCTACCTATGAGTGAGTACATACCATGTTTGTCTTTCTGAGTCTGGGTTACCTCACTCAGGATGATTTTTTCTAGATCCATGCATTTGCCTGCAAACCTCATGATGTCATTGTTTTACTCTGCTGAGTAGTACTCCATTGTGTATATGTACCACATTTTATTTATCCATTCTTCAATTGAGGGGCATCTAGGTTGTTTCCAGGTTCTGGCTATTACAAATAATGCTGCTATGAACATAGCTGAGCATGTGCCCTTGTGGTATGATTGAGCATTCCTTGGGTATATGCCCCCAAAAGTGGTAGAGCTGGGTCTTGGGGGAGATTGATTCCCAATTTTCTAAGAAAGTACTATATTGATTTCCAAAGTGGCTGTACAAGCTTACATTCCCACCAGCAGTGGAGGAGAGTTCCCCTAGCTCCACATCCTCTCCAGCATAAGCTGTCTTCAGTGTTTTTGATCTTAGCCACTCTGACAGGTGTAAGGTGGTATCTCAGAGTCATTTTGATTTGCATTTCCCTGTTGTGGGATGGTCTGTATGTCAAATGCTCTGATTGGTCAATAAATAAAACACTGATTGGCCAGTGGCTAGGCAGGAAGTATAGGTGGGACTAACAGAGAGGAGAAAAGAAAGAACAGGAAGGCAGAAGGAGTCACTGCCAGCCACTGCCATGACAAGCAGCATGTGAAGATGCCGGTAAGCCACGAGCCACATGGCAAGGTATAGATTTATGGAAATGGATTAATTTAAGCTATAAGAACAGTTAGCAAGAAGCCTGCCACGGCCATACAGTTTGTATGCAATATAAGTCTCTGTGTTTACTTGGTTGGGTCTGAGTGGCTGTGGGACTGGCTAGTGACAAAGATTTGTCCTGACTGTGGGCAAGGCAGGAAACCTCTAGTTACATTTCCCTGATGATTGGGGATGTTGAGCAATTCCTTAAATGTCTTTCAGCCGGGAATGGCACTATTTGAGAGGTTTTAGGAAGTGTGGACTTGTTGGACAAAGCCTGTCACTGTGGGTGGGCTTTGTAGTTTCAAAAGCCCATGCCAAGCCCAGTGTCTCTCTTTTTCTGCTGCCTGTAGATCTAGGTGTAGAACTCTAGGAACTTCTCCAGCACCATATCTGCCTGTGTACCACCATGCTTCCCACCATGAGGACAATGGACTAAACCTCTGAAAGTGTAATCCAGCCCAATTAAAGCTTCCTTTATAAGAGTTGTTCTGGTCATGGTGTCTCTTCACAGCAATAGAAAACTGATTAAGACAATCTTACTCTCAGATAAAAAAGACATGGAATAAAATACCAACTTGGTTACTCAGAAAGGAGTCATGACAGAAGTATAGGTACATCAGTCCCTCAGTCATCTCTCTGTGTAAGCTACCAAAATATTTCAATGAGAAGACTTATACCATGACTAGGTAAATACACTGATAAGAATATCAAGCCAACAAGAACAAATTTATAGTTCAGGCCACCATTGTGAATAAGCACAGTGTAGTCATTATCTACACAAGGCAAGGCATTCTGTAGGGACACATTATACGGCAAGAATATGAGCAGTAGTCAACAGATGAGCAATCCAGCAAGTTAGCATTTCACTGCCCAACACTTTTAAAAAGAAAACTCACTTCTGTTTCACAAAGCATTTTAAAAACATCACATACCCCATTAGAAGCCAAGACATCTTCTGTTTCTTCATCTTTGTGGTTGGCTTGAATTTCAAATGGATTCCCACCACTACAATACTGCTCAAACAAAGTCACAGGTTTTGAAGAAGTTGCCAATGGTTGCTTACTAGGTGAAACTGATGGGGAGCGAGACTGTTCCAGGAATTTAAATTCCTACACATTGAGAAAGGATGAAATAGCTGTTAGAAAAATAATAAAATCTAAGCATACAAACTTATCCCCTTAATGTAAATGTAGAGTTAGAACAGGGGGAAAAACATGATCTTCAAGTTACTCATCTTTACATCTTACAAGTCGTCTGAGATCACAATCTTGGAAACACGTAACCATTCTAAAAGACAAGAGTGCCACTTAAGTCAGAGTGGCCTGGTCAAGCAACTCCGGCCTTCCATGAAGGAAAGTTACAGACACATTCTGAAATGACAAGAAATTTGAATGACTGAGCCACAGAAGTCCGGGCAGCATACTTTTTAACCCACAATATCCTTCAAAGGAGCAACTGCTAAGACACTGCTGACTCATGCTTGCACCATGTAAGACATTCTTGCCACCACAGCAAGAGGATCAAGCACATATCTATCTTTTCATGTTGGTACCTGTAACTATCATTTACTTTCCTTTACAGACCAAGAAGCCAAGAGCACAAACATTCATTTGGCCAGATGTGTCTTCTGCTCCTAGACTGCTATATTCAGGCCATTATGAATGCCACCTGCCTTCTCTTTGAGTCCATTTCCTCATCTTTAAAATGGGAGGACCAATCCAGACTGGAGAAATAAAAAATGACAGAGCTAAAAAGATGTAATACCTGATCCAACTTCCACATCACAAAGATGAGCAAACTGAGGCAGTCTGGAAAGACTGAGGGCCAAGTTCAAGGCTACAGCTAACTGGAGAAAAGATTCAAATAATCTCTAAAGTTCATCTGAATTACAAAGCTCTTGACTTGACAACTTACCGCAAAATAAACATTTTTCTACACCTAACAATATTAATCCCAAATTTAAATGTCTGTCATACTCAGTACTCAGTATTAATCTTAAAAGGCCCAAGGGCAGTATTAAAAAGTTCCTTAAATTTCTACAAAGTACACTGACTTGTTCACTCTATCATTACACCATGTCTCAGCCCCAGCTTTCTTTATAAATTTCAACTACATGTTAAATCAGATCCAATACAAAGCTTGAAAATCATGACACTATTTTTATAATTCTAAACAAGTGTTTAATATAACATAATTTTTTTTTACAAATCGACAGGAATGCATTTGAATAATAAGTTTTAAATGGTTTTTAAGGCAACCATTTTGAAAAAAATAATGCTTGCTTAGTCAGAAATGACATGTTTCTAGTAAAAGTTCTCTTACAATTATACCAAGTACACATTAAAATATGCAGCATCAATCTATTAATTAACCTATTAAATAAAAATTCAATAAAATTATTTAAATACATACTCTAAAATGTTAAGCTTAAAAATTTAAATGTTAAGGAATCATAACTATTTTAGAAGTCACAGATTCTGTTAATTTAATGTTATTTCATTGATGCCAATTACAATTTATGTTACTTTTGTTGTCCTTGAGCACATACTCGTCACTGCTGTTAGTATCTTTACTATTGTCATGTTAGGAAAGCAATATGTTCGGACTGGATATGAAACTACAGAACATAAAGACTATCTCCCCATTAAAATTAAATACAGGGAGAAGTGGCTCAGCATTGAGAGCACTGGCTGATCTCTCAGAGGATCTAGGTTCAAGTCCCAGCAGCCACATGACAGCTAACCACTGTCTTTAATCTCAGATCCAGGGGAGCCCGTGGCCTCCTACGGCTGCCACATGTGTACACCGACATACATGAAGGCAAAGCACCCGTATATAGAATAAAATTAAAACACAATAATAACCACATGTGGAACACCAACATACATGCATACACGAAGGCAAAGCACCTGTATATAGAATAAAATTAAAACATAATGATAATAAAGTACTTTTTAAATATATCCACTTTTTTTTTTTATCTTCTAGAAGCCATTCCACCTGAAGAAAACCACCAAACACAATGTACTCAGGCCACGGACTACAACACAATCTTTGATGCAGGAATATTTACGACATTGTATTTCAATCAAACCAGTTAAAGAGTTTTTCACAACCATTCTTTACAAAGAACCTAACTAACTAACTAATAAAATTAGCATTTCTTATAAGTGTTCCTTTCATTTATGAAGCATTTTGTCAATACAAGCAAATCTGTAACCGTGCTATAACTTAAGTGCCCATTCATGCCTTCAAAAAATTGCTAGTATTTTATATCTATAAATAAGCATTTGTGTGTGTGTGTGTGTGTGTGTGTGTGTGTGTGTGTGTGTGTGTGTGTTCAGAAGCCTTTATTCAACACATTAGTAAGCAGAAATTTTTAAAGAACTTTAATGGGTGATTGCTAATATATTTGAATATACATAATGAGAGACCCTGAAGATAAGACATAAAATCAAACATAAAATTCATATAATCTTCTTAAATACCCTGCAAAATTGTCAGAAAAGTGTCAGAAAACATTTTAAAATATTTTATTTATTTATTTATTTATTTATTTATTTATTTATTTATTTATGGTGCGCGTGCGTGCGTGCATGCGTCAAGACAGGGTTTCTCTGTGTGTTTTTGGTGTCTGTTCTAGATCTCACTCTGTAGACCAGGCTGGCCTCAAACTCGCAGAGATCCGCCTGGCTCTGCCTCCCGACTGCTGGGATTAAAGGCATGCACCACTGCCGCTTGGCTTTAAAATATTTTTTTAAAGGAAACAAAAGTTTCTTATGGTGGAATATCAATATCCATTTGTTATGCCAGAAAAACAAAAAAACACTTTTTTGAATACAGAAATTGAATGTAATAGTAAACAAGGAAAACTATACTATTTTTTTAAGTATTAAACATAGATTATCATTTTCTATTTGATCTAAAACCGACGTGAGAATGAAATTACTCCTTATGAATTTGACAGGATTATTTAAACATACTTCTATACTTAATAATATGGATCAATCATGGTATTAATTATGTACACTTACATTAAGCATCCTTAATCTGAGTGAAATTCAAAATGCCTCCACATTTGAAATAAAAAAGCATTTTCATCACATGGTACCAAAATACAACTGACTCATTTTCTGAAAAACTTATATAAAACAGTGGGTTCCCTTTTGAATTCAAAAGAAAATTCATTGTAATTGTTACTTTCTTTAGTCAAAAGTGTTTACTGAAGTATGTAAGACCAACGTTGTAAAGTAGACTTAAGTCTATCAGCAGTTAATTCTTATCAAATGGCCATTAGGAATCCCTTTCAAGGAAGGAGCTCAAGAAGTTGTTATTAAAAGAAAAAACTAAAAGTAGTTACTAGAAGACACATTTCTCTGTTCTTGAGAAAAACTTACATGAAGCTGCAAGATGCTGAAATTTGACTTAACAGGGCAAAGCTCCCACGTCTCATTCTCTAGAAACATTCTCAGTTCATCAAGTCGTATTCTTAAAGGAAAGAAAAGAACAGGAATAATGGAGCAGGAAATACAAGAACTGAGGAAACAAAATACAATGTAACAACAGAATTATCATCACCATAATCACCTACAAAAATCATTCACATTAGCACATAAACTACACGAGTGTGCTTCTGTTAGTTACCCTATGATCCTTAAGAAAAACATAATAAACATATGTCAAATATTTACTAAGCTGAATATTTTTGAAAGTGTAAAAATGATGTGTAAGAAATACAATTTTTATTAAAGAACTAAATTAAAACCTGTCACTAACTCATGCACTTAAATTTGTCTTAACTATTCATATACCAAGTTTGAAATAGAAAAACAACTATCAGGGTCATATAAAAATCACAAATATTTATGTATTAGTGTATTATAATGTGACTAAGCGACAATACCAAGATAAATATCATTCTGAAAAGGCCTTTTACAGTGTCTATCTCTACAAAGCACTTAAAACTTAGCGGGTCAGCACTTATACTCCAGACAGTCTACTAACTACCTACACCACATGGATTGCTTTTAACACTACTTTACTGCTCTCACTTTATGTTCCAAGTCATCGTAATATTATACAGAAAGATGCAGAAAAACAAAGCTTTACTTCTGCTTGAATAAAGTTGCATTATATAGAAAAAGGTAGAAAAACAAAGCCTTACTTCTACTTGAGTAAAAGCCTGGTGCTTCCCCTTTTTTTCCTCCAATACACCACCAGCTACTGCTACCACACCATGCTAAAACAAAGCCTAGATGTTTTTTAATAAATTCAGATTTGACAACAAAGAGTGAGTAAATAGATGGATCTAGACAAACAGGAACACTTCTAAACATTGGGATAACTAGGCAGGGACTACAGCTCATAAATACACTCAGCAAAGTTACAGGCTATAAAATTAACACTTAAAAATCATGAGCCTTCACAGCAAGGAGAAAATACTATTCACTATCCTCAGCATCCCCTGTCTCTCCCCTGCCACCCCATACTCCCAAAGAAAGAATCTGGAATAAATCTAATCACAGAAGTGAAGAATACCTTGTACAATGAAAAAGTTAAGATGTGAAAAAAAGAAACTGAAAAAGATTCTAGGCAATGGAAGATGTCCCATGCTCCTGGATTAGCAAGATTAATATTGTGAAACTGGTCAACCTACCAAAAGCAATCTACAGATTCAACACAACCCCCATGAAAATTCTAATACAATTCTTCACAGAAATTGAAAAACTTAAATTTCATATAGAAATACAAAATATCCAGGAATCTGCTCTGCTAGAGGTATCATCACCTAATTTCAAGTTATGGGTATTTATTCAAAATTGTAATGCTAAAGAACAAACAAGGACAGACATCATGGTATACACCTGTAATTACAACACTCATGGGATGAAGCAGAAAGATTATCAGTTCAGGACAGCATGGGCTACACAGAAAGATTTATCTCAATGAATACACAAATTTTAAAAGCCAAGCATCAAAACGACATTTGAGAACTGAAAGACAGGATACCTTCAGTTAAAGCCTGATTGGATAAGTAAACTAGCACAGCAGGATTATCAGAAGAAGGATCAGTAGAAAATATCTACAAACTATAGCACAAGTTGTAAGTAAAATGAGTGAACAGAAAGGATCTTAAGATTAGGTAGAGAGATGACAGATAGATGAGAGAGACAGAGGGAGACAGACAGACAGACAGAGTAAGTGAGCATGTGCCAGAAAATGGCTGCACTGGTAAAATGTTTGCTACACTAGCATGAGGAACTGAGTTTGTACTGCCAAGCACCCATGCAAACAGCCAGACGGACACCTGTATTTTAGTGTTAGGGAAATGGAAATGGGGGCAATCTTCCAGAATGGATACGCTTTGACTCAGTAAAAGACCCTGTCTCAAAAATACAGTGAAGAGTAATTTGGAAAAGACAATCAATGTCAACCTCCAGGCCCCCCCCCCACACACACACAGAGGGAGGCAGGCAGGGAGGGAGGGAGGGAGGCAGGGAGGGAGGGAACAAAAGATCTAGTGTTCATGCAATCGCATGGAGAAGAGAGGAAGGAGGAGCTGAAGCAGTGTTTGGACAGGCAATAGTTAGTAACTCCTCAAGATGATCGCGTCCATGTGTAACCACAGGGGAAAAGTCTAACTAGGAACTAAAACTATAAAATTTTACAATTTAACAATGAAAAGACTAATAATCCAGTTAAAAATGGGCAAGGCCTTTAAAGACACTTCTGCAGGGAAGATATACAAAAAGCCAATAAGCACATAGGAAGCTGGCAGTATCTTCAATCATTAAGGAAATGCAAATGGAAACCACAAGATACCACTTACCTCTACCAAGACAGTTACAAACAAAAAGACAGAAACACTGTGGGATGATCCTTCTGTATACTGTGGATATATATTACTCTCATTGGTTAATGAAGAACTGACTGGCCGGTAGCCAGGCAGGAAGCACAGGCGGGACAGCCCTGGGATGCTGAATAACCTGTCCTCTCTCTGAGAGCTGGCACACACCAGAGGTGAAACAAAACCTGAGCCTCCTCTCTCCCAGTCCAGTTCTAACAACACAGTGTAGCTTCATCAGTGAGAAGCAGGCTCTAAACATATGTCTAAAGTCCTGAAACTTGCTGAGTATTTAGGAAATAATAATTAACTCCTTTTTGGATTCTCTGATTTCCCCAAGATAAACTTCAGTGGGGAATCTCCACCATGATCAGAGTCTAAAGTCAAAATGTCTACATATGGTTACCAGAGAGGCAGACACCCTCTGACAGTCCCAACAGTACAATGCAGAATGGACACCACTCCCCAGATCAGCATTTGACAGTGCCCATACCTCCAAACACTAGGAACAGCAGAAGTCTTCCAGTGATTATGCTAGGTATAAGGCACTCTGGGAAAGCAGACAACTGGCAGAGAATTCTAGGTTTTTATCAAAAAGCCTTTTCTCTTTAACATAAATATATTTAACAATCAATCTTTTGACACCCAATAATCTCACTATTAACATGATACATAATCTCTGTACAAAGGTATTGACAATAAAAAAGGAGAGAAAGAAGAATTTCAAACAATGACGCTCCAAATAAGAATAACAAACTCAAAACTTGGTTGGAAAAATGAAAAGTAATTTATAAATAATTTAATGGTAAAATATGTAAGAATACAACTTGGGAGCTGGCTTACATCAAGAAAGATCATGCCGGGCGGTGGTGGCTCACGCCTTTAATCCCAGCACTTGGGAGGCAGAGCCAGGTGGATCTCTGTGAGTTCGAGGCCAGCCTGGTCTCCAGAGCGAGTTCCAGGAAAGGGGCAAAGCTACACAGAGAAACCCTGTCTCGAAAAACCAAAAAAAAAAAAAAAAAAAAAAAAAAGATCTAGGGGTTGAGATGGGTCAGTGGGTAAGAGCACTTGCTGTCAGGCCTGAGAAGGCAAGTCCAAGCCCCAGCACTCACACACACTGGAAAAGGAGACTCGATGCCCTCCTGTAAGTTGTCCTCTGACTTCCACACATATGCCATGGCATGTGTGTTTGCACTCTCTCTCCCACTCTCTCTCAGTAAAACAAATTTTAAAAATGAGAGCATAATCAGTGCTTTTCCTTTTTCTCTCCATCTGGTATGGCTTGGGTAAATGATCACAGTACATGGTAACATTCATTCGCGTCTTCTTCCACTCAAAGAACACCTAATCATCCTTTCCATCTTTGCAGTGATGGTTAAGCAAAGCAATGCCGCATACAATCTTAGCTTCGCAGCTAGGGTCTGAGTAGCACATCCACTACAAGCCTTCTTTTTCCTGGAATGCCACACTGAGTGCTGCCTCTATATTCTTACTTCCTTACTACTTGCCCAGTATGTCTAAAGATGCAGACCAGTGACTAGAGTCTTTCAGTAACCCTGATGTAATGATCAATTACATGTAAGGATCATTTTACCTCTAATGAAACCAGTTCAATGTCTACTTCAATATGTTTAATGTGGACTATCCCTTTACACTGTGTGAATATATGTTGCTGTGATTGGCTTAATAAAGAAGCGGACTAGCCAATAGCTAGACAGGATGAGGTTAGGCAAGAGAACCAGACTAAGGACACTGGGAAGAAGGGCAGAGTCAGAGGAGTTGCCAGCCAGATGGAAAGGAAGCAGGATATGCAGGAAAGGTAAAAGCCATGAGCCTCAAGAAGGCACACAGATTAATAGAAATGGGTTAATTAAGTTGTAAGAGCAAGCTAGTAATGAACCAATAGCTCATATTGGCTGAGCATTTATAATTAATATTAAGTCTCTGAGTGGTTATTTGGGAAGTGGCTGCCAGAACATATCCTACATTCAACCCACTCAAAACAAAGAATTTTAGATTTACAAATGAATAGTGAATACTTTCTAGTACATTATTGATGAAGTATCCCCAACTATCCTACAAAGAGATATAATAAATTTATTTATTAAAAGTTAAAAATGGCTTTATATCAGTTACTCTTATAAGAGGAAGGCTTAGATAAATATTTTATTGTATTTCTTACCTGTGGTGGTTCTTGAAATAATTGATACTTTGTTTTCTAATGGACTCCTGCAAAACTTCAGACTTGCTACCACAAAATTCTTCTCCAACTTGCATCAACCTAGTGGGTCAAAAAGAGCTATATAAATTTCAGGACCATGCTTATAAAAAACAAAAACAGTTCAGGTTCTTTCTTTAACAATTATAACTAACAGAAATTTAAATTTGGGTATTCGAAAAAAAATTAGAAAGACTCTACAAGCCCAGTCCATCAGTCATGAGTAATTACATCCTCTTCCATGAAGAATTTAGACAGAAAACTCATTAATTTCTGATTTTTTATTCTTATGGTTGAATGAATTAAGCCACAGAAGACAGTATCTCACATTACCTGCTGACTATATCCAAAACAAAGATAAAATCATCATATTTGAATATAGATAAATCAGTTCCAAGCAAGTAGGTTTTTACTTTTAGTTGAACATCCTGTAAGACACAAACAAATAAGTAAATTTATTCTGTAGTAACATATTAAAATGAAATAGTGGATTCTTAGTTTGATAACATATCTACATAGACCAACAGCCAAGTATCTTTAAGACTAACCTAACAAGGATAGTCTAATGAATGTTTTAAGAAATAGTAATGGCCACAATCTCACTAAAACTTGGCATAGCTATGTTAAATTCTACTTAATGTAATGGCACACATATATACACACACAATTCTTATGATAAGAAGGATATCATGTGCTGAAGAGATGACTCGGCAGTTAAGCACAAACTATTCCTGCAGAGAACTCAAGTTCTATTTCCAATGCCCCAACCGCTCACAACTGCCTTTGACTCTAACTTCAAGGGATCCCATGTCTCTGACTCTGAAGACACCTACTCTAAGGTGCACATAACCACACAGACACACATACACATAATTAAGTATTAAATAAAATCCCTTTTCAAAAAATTATATTCTTCTAAGAGATAGAACAAAAATCATTATGTATGCATGGCTTTGGTTCATTAGAAATCCAAATATAATGCATTTAAAAATGAGTAACTGTAAAATAAGCATCAGGCAACTGACAGTAATGAGCCTGAGTGGATGACTAACCAGTAGAAACCAATTTTCCAAATTCATGAAATTCCAGCCAAAATCGCAAGAATTTTTCTTCTAAACAATTATTCTAAAATTCACCTAGGATAGGCAATAATTGTTTTTAAAAGTGAAACTATGTAAAGATGGAATAAAAGTTATGAGGAATCCTGAAAGACTTATAATACATTAAACAGACTACAAACTATTTAAAATGAATGAAATGTTCAGATAAATAAGCCAAATAATTCAGTAACAGTAAACAGTAGACATCTAACATAGACAATGGTTGAATTTTTTTAAAAAAAAATCTGCTTTGTGATTATTTAACCATGTCAAAAACACTATGCTAATAACTTTACATATGGGATCAAACCAGCTTTGTCTGGCAGGAATTTTTACCTCTGAGGAGCAGAGTCTAGAGGGCTCAAGTATTATTGTCTGAACTCTTGTGCCTGCTGCATGGCAAACCTAAGGTCTATCTTCCTTCAAAGTCACAATTTTATCTCTATGCTTTGTAACAAATGAAGTAGACAGAAGTAGAATTATCCAGAAAGTGGTGAAGAAGAAACTTAACTAGTAGAAAGAAAACGTCTACTATTCAAATATCAAACAAAATATACAATGGATTAATGATTCCTATATATTTTCAAAAGGTCAAAATTAGAAATTATATAATAATTTAATAAAACAAAAACATTTCCTGAGTGTCTATTAAACACTTCAGGTAATATTCTAGGCATTATAGATAGAACAACTAATATGCAGTTTAGAGGCAGATATTCAAAACTGCCATGTGAGCACTGGGCTGAGCTCTACATGGGCAAGGTTATATGTGTAGCATAAGAAAAAAAAATACAAATCACAGTATGGCATCATAAAAATACTATCTGCACTTAAATAAGTAAAAAAGAAAAATAACAGATAAGGGGCTACTCATTACCATAAGTCACTAAGAATCTATAAAACCAAATAATTCACAAAAGAAGTTATAATAATACAGAACAGGCTGAATACTGGAGTAGAGGAGGCAGGGACTGGCAAGGAGGAGAAGAAATAACAACACACTAAAACTTGAAACTGGAGTATGACAGGCAAGAACACACGGTCACGTTTAAAAGGACAATGACTTCTATAAACTGGCCAAATACTTAAGTGGGAATGGTGTACTAAATTTCACATTGAATAGATTTTCATTTACCAGGAATATCATCAAGTTGTCATGTCAGATGAGACTAACTGCATAAGATGCCAGGCATTACAAAGGGCACCACTGATTACCAGAAATTCTACCATGAATATGCTAATTTCAATTAAGTACAATAAAGGTCTATAAGGAGACTAAATCATAAAAAATTCATGTCTGGCCCTCTGTGTGTATTTAATGAACATGAGCATATATTCAAATATAATGCTCAAACAAAAAGAGCCCCAAATCACAAATAATTGTTAAATACATAATGGTTTAATATTGTCCTAAGAGACAATATAGAAATTAAAATAATTATAAGTACAACGTAAATATATTTAAATGCTAAGTATAAATTCAAATTGTGTAATCCAATATATGATTGTCATAAACCAGAGCACTAAATTACAAAGATTAAGTGATTCTTGAGGAAATTTACATTTTTAGGATGTTTCCCTAAATGATTTTTTTAAAGAAACCCTACATTAGATAATTAAACTGAAAAGCAAACTAATTGGGGGGCGTGGGTAGTTTTTCAAGGCTTTTCAAGTTTGGATCAAAGATTCCAAAGAAATTACACTTTGATCTAGGAAGAACCAAATTTTAAGTAAATTTCAGATTACAACTGAACCAGTCAACTGAAAGAAAATGTAAAAAGATGTCTTCTGGTCTCACATTTAGGTCTACTTAAAATTCATGTGATGCTGTCTGAACCCTCAAGGTGAGAGCAACAGAAAGGCAGGTCCTCGTAAGGGCTGGAGGTCATGTGGGAGGGGTCCCTATGACTAGGACTTAGAGTTGATGCCCCAGGGACAGGCTTTCCAGTTCCACCAAGTACGGGCACAACAAAAGGCACCATCTGTGAAACAGGAAGAAGAACTTCACCCAACACAAACTCTAAGAACTCTGACCTTGAACTTCTCAGGCCCAGAACTATAAGAAACAATTCCTATTCTTTTAAAGCAGTCTAGTCTAGGGTATCTTATTATATATAGTAGTCCAAATGGCATACACTGACAGGAGCCCAAATTAAAAACAAAACAAAAACTATAGAGCTTTCCTCAAAGAAGCTCAGTGAGGAACTAAAATTTATTCTTCCCTATATTCTGCCCAAATGTCACCTACTTATTTCTTTCCTAAAATTAAGCAAAAAAGGAAATCAAGAAAACTAAATAAAATAAACAGGACAGTTCAATAAAAAAGGCACAATTTTTTTTTTAGAAAAGCAAATTCCTTAGTCATGCAACACATGAATATTTCTAATGGAAATTTTCAAACTAAGAGACTTTTTTTCTATTGCTCTTGGTAGTTAATATAATTATCAACTAATTACAGAAATTAAGTTAAATGATAGCCTTGTTCCAAAGACGAGTGAACATATGATTAAGCCTGCAGAGAGTACAAACACACAAAGTTTAGAAAAAGAATTTCTACAGCAACTATAACATGAGTGTTTTGGAGCCCAGCTTGAACACAGCTTCTGTGAAAATCAACACGAAAATAAACCAAACCTGCCATATTCGCGTGAGGCCATGCTCCAGCTTCTTTTTTACATAGCCACGATCAAAGTTGGTCTCTTCAGCACTCAACACATGACTTCCTTCTGAAAACAAAAATCGGCATGTTTTTAATTCAATCTATTTTTTCCCTAAATTTTTCTTATGAGCCAACCTAAGATAAAATACAATTTTTTTCAGGGCAGGAGATGTGGCTCAACAGTTAAAATCACTGGCTGTCCTTCCAGGGGGTTAGATTCCTAGCAAATACATGGCTCTTACAACCTTCTGTAACTGTGATCCTGGGGGAAGCCCACACCCTCTTCTGGTGTCTGCAGGCACTAGGCATAGTGTACAGGCACACATACACATAAAATAAAAAAGAAAGTATACTCAATATATGTGCATTCAAAATAATCGTAAAATCAGGCATTGGGATTAAATCCCTTTGATACATAGATAACTTAGAGAAATGCTATATATCCCAAGACTATGCACTCCCATGTGAATGGGCCTAGGAGTCCAATGAAGGCAGTGCAGCCCCAGAGCCACACACCACCTACTTCACTACCACGTGACAGGCTGATGTCAGAGCACGAGAAAATCAATTAATTCAACTGTCAGGTAATGTGTATGCCAACAAGAAGAGAGACAGAAGGAGGTAAATATGCATGTCTTTATTTTCCATAATTTATATTATGTTTTTATAATGAACTATTAATATTAATAATTCCAGATGAACAATTTAGCAATATTCAGTCCAACAAGCAAGATCAATATTGTTCCTCAAAATAAGTTTCTCTCCTGAGAACACAAACACACATCTGTATTAAAGAAACTGTATAGCTTTGTGTACAGCAGAACAACAGCCTATTTATTATCTTCTCCCAGGTTGGCAAGGTGTCCAGTGGTTACTAGGAAAAGACCATCCTTGCCAGTCAACAGACATGCTTGGTCTACCTTAGCGCTGCTAGAGCTTGACTGCATACATGCTCTAGCTGTGGTGAACCAGCAGCCTAGCTATGCATCTAGACTACATCTTTAGTGGTTTCTTTAGGACCTAAAGTGTTAGAATGACAATCAATACCACTACAGAGCTACAGAAAAGGAATTCTAGAGGCCTTCCCTTCAGCTTTACAAAGGGACTGGGAATAGTTTCATATCTCTGGTTCTTACCACTGTATTCTTGCATGTCTGCATGTAACTATCCAGAGTCCTAAATATTGCTGGTGGACTGCCGAATCAGTCAGAAAACCCAAATTCTCTTAAGATATAGATTAGAAGAGGGAATTTCAGCAAAACAGTCTAAATATGCAAGGCCCAAATCTGGTGTGACTCAGTATTCCATCACCATAGAGGTCATATCTTGTTCTCTGTATTTTTTGTTTCAGCATTTGTATTGAGTCTGTAAGTATGCATATCTAGAAGTTCTTCTATCTAACGTGTATGCTAATGCTACCTGAAACCCGTCCTTAGGTTTATCTTTTATTAGAACCATACCCAGAAAAATGTCAAGGAGTAACAAAGCCGAGAAAGTGTCATGAAACCCTGGCTCAGTGAGCCTGGGATTCCAGCTTTGACCGAACCCTGGCCCTGCACATGCTCAGCAGGCACTCAACCACGGAGCTGCACTCCTAGTCCACTGGTTTGCAATTCTGACTTGCCTCAACGCTCTCTCCTTTCTCCTCCCTCTCTCTTTACCCTCTCCTACAAAATTTCTAGTCCATGATACAATTTTCCCCTCTTAATTTTTACTGTCTATATGTATGATGAGATGTGTCTTCAAAACATGGCTTCAAAATTCTGTTTAATCAAACAGTAAGATTTTGGTATTTCCTGTTTGACCAAATCACAGAAACCAGGTACCCCAGAGACTGGAAGTTATCAAAAATAAGTTCAGAAAAAAAAAAAAAAACTGCATTAAATTGTATGACACAGCACAGTATTAAACAAATGCTAATAGAATTATTTGCTTTAAAAGTAATTGTGTGTGTAGGTGAATGTGCATGGGCATGCAGGTACACATGTGTGTATATGCATGTGCTTGTGTGTGCAGGTGCACATGTGTGAATGTGCTTGTGGAAGCCACCTGATTGTTTTGCTTCCATAGGCTCATATATTTGAATGCTTAGTCACCAGGGAGTGGAACTCTTTGAAAGGATTAGAAGGATTAGGGGGTGTGGCCTTGGTGGAGAAAGTATGTCACTGGCGCAGGCTTTGAACTCAATGCCAGGCCTAGGATCTCTCAGATCAGGATGTAGCTCTCAGATACTGCTCCAGCACCTTCTTGCTTGCCATCATGCTCCCTACCATGATGATAATAGAGTAAACCTCTGAAAGTGTTAAGCAAGTCCCCAATTAAATGCTTTCTTCCGTAAGAGTAGCTTTGGCCATGGTGTCTCTTCACAGCAATAGAACAATGACTAATGCAGAAGTTGCTGTGACAGGCCTGACCATGCTGCTTGTTGGCAGAATGCAGACTTTGGGATTTTGGATTAGGTAAGCAGTTGACTTCATGGGCCATACCAGTAGATGCATGGAAGGCAGTGGTGCTGAGAGTAGTGTCAATTATGACGCCCAGGCTCAAAAAGTTTCAGAGGTTAAGAATATTGGTAAGTAGCCTTCAGACCATGCTTATTATATTTTGGCAAAGAATGTGGCTGCTTTTTGGCCCTGTCCTAATAATCTGCTTGAGGCTAAATTGAAGAGTTTTTGATTAATGGCATTGGCAGAGATTTCATAACAGCCTAGTAGTATTGACTATTTCATACGGTTATTAGTGATTGCTCTTATGCAGATTTATAATAAAAAGAAGCAAGCAGGGCAAGAAAAATACAGACTGTTCAGTTTGAGGATAAAAGGAACACCAGGGAATGTTTTGTTGGAGCCAAATCCAGTGTTCAAGGAGATAAAAAGATAAAAGCCTGATGATAATGGAATAAAGGGAATAGTGAACTCAGGGCAAGACCCCAAATGGCTAAGCTTCCAACTTGTGAAAAAGAATTAAAGGAAAGATTAGGCAGAGAAGGAAACCATCAACAACAGAAAGCTGATGTAGATGTAAATGAACATGGAGGCTATGTTCCAGCCCTAGCAAGCAGCTTTGGGTATGTGGTTCTGGATTTAGACACAAGGATACAAGAAAGGGATTGTAAGATCTTCCTCTTTGGCTAAGCAAAGCCTCTGAGGCCAGGTATGTGTCAGGGGTGTCCCTGCATGGAGTCCTGGAGAGGCCATTGTGTGAAACTATGAAGGTGAAGCCTGGATTGCCTTGGAGACCTGCTGAGGGCTGTGGCAGTATAAAGCAGGTGACAACTAGTGTTTGACAAGTCCACCGACCAGACAGACATATAACTCCCTGATGCGGAGCCCAACCAGGCAAAGCCATAGGGTCACTGGCTGTGGAAACCGGTTGTTTTCTGTCTGCAACTTTCTCAGGTGCCACTGCTATGCCTCCCTAATAAGGACAGCTGTGGGGTGCTTTCCACAGCTCTTTGGTAGTGTGTTTTATATCTCTGGGCCCACATTTAGCTGTGGATTTCTGTTTAAGCTGTATAATTCTGATGAACAAAAATAATACCAGAATATTCTTCTTTACTGACACGGGAAAGTAACAGCATTCTCAGTCTCAAAGACAGCCTTTTACACACTTTGCAAAGACCTGAGAACTAGTCCAAAACAGACGAAGCTGCCCCTACAGAATGTACACAAAGACTAACTCCCAGGTGTTGTTTATTGCTAAATCAAGGCCAGGCTATTTACATCAACACATAGTCCTTGCAGTAGCTCCCTTTCTTCACGTACCCTGACAGCTCAAGGTTCAGGCAATTGTTTAATGTTGGGACCCCTCAACAACTTCAGAGCTACATGCATGGGTCAATGTGACATTGCTAGCCTAAGAGAAACCATGTGACTTTACCTTGTGTTTTGAGAATGGGTAGGGCCCTAAAAATATAACTTAGAACTGTCCAGAGTTTGGCTGTGAAGGAAGAGCAGCCACAATGTGAAGAGAGAGAAGTGTGAGGGAATGAGTGGGTGAAAGAGTGAGTGAGTAAAGAGTGAGTGAATAATCTAGAAGTATGTGTGTGAGTATGAGGGAGAGAGCTGTGTGTAATAGCTGTTGCTACATAGAGGAGCTGTGTCTAGGAACTGTGTAAGTGCTGTATGCCGAGAGAGCTGTGTAAATGAGAGGTTTAGCTGTGGCCATGTAGAGATTTGTAACTGTGGAGATAAGGAAGATGAAGCTGCATAGAATAAAGATATAGAAGAGAAATATATGTAAAAGGTGTGTAAACCTGTGACAACAGATGTAACTGTGTATAGAGATGTATGGCCATATGGACATAAAGAAAGACATAAAGCTGTATGTATAGAATGTAGCAGTGTGGAGATATGTAGCTGTATGGAGACAAAAGAGTCAGAGACCGTTATTAAGATGAAGTAAAAGAGAAAGTTAACATCAGAAAGCATGCGTGTTTTCTTAGTTTACCAGTCAGATAGCAACTTATTTCTAAACACCCTCAGACAGAAAAAGTCTAGCCCTTGCTGCCTTCGTGGATTTTCTTGCATTCCCATGGAGGTGGACTTGGAGCAGGCTCTCCATAGGCCCCAGATAGAGACCCCAAGATGTTGGAGATGCCAGAGTACTGGGATATCTGCCAGGAACACCTGAAGACTGGGTATGAATCCAGCCCAAGAGAGCGAAATGTTCAGCAATCAATGAAGCTGAAAGGAATTAGAGATCTGAAGAACACTTTGATATCAGACAAGAAGATGCAAAATTTTTTAGTTTGCTCTGCTGGTTTTGAATGTTGCTTTGGTCCAGTATTTCCACACTATGCTCCCTTTCTCCCTTTTAGAATGGGAATGTATATTCTGTGTCATTGTATGTTGGAAGTATGTAATCTTTTTTATTTTTACTTTATTTTATTTTATTTTTGGTTTTTTCAAGACAGGGTTTCCCGGTGTAGTTTTGGTGCCTATCCTGGGTCTCGCTCTGTAGCCCACCCAGGCTGGCCTCGAACTCACAGAGACCCACCTGGCACTGCCTCCCGAGTACTGAGATTAAAGGCATGTGCCACCACTGCCCCGCTTGAGTTTTTTTGTTTATTTGTTTGTTTTTTGTTTTTTTATTTTACAGGGTCTTAAAATTAAGAGAATGCTATGAATCCCAGAAGAGACTCTGAACTTTGGACTTTTAAACAACGTTGAGACTGTAATAGACTATGGGGACTTTTGAAGTTGGACTAAATGTATTTCTGCATTATGATATAGTTACAAGTCTATGGGAGCCAGGGGTAGAATATGGTGATTTGTACCAGAATGTACTTCATAGGCTCATATATTTGAATGCTTAGTCACTAGAGAGTGGCTCTATTTGAGAAGGATTAGGAGGTGTGGCCTTTCTGGAGGAAATGTGTCCCTGAGGGTAGGCTTTGAAGTCCCACCATGCCAGGCCTAGGCTCACTCCCTCTCTCCCTCTCTCCCCTCTCTCTCCTTCTCTTTCTCTCTCTCCCCCTCCCTCCCTTCCTCCCTGCCTATAGATCAAGATATAGCTCTCACTTTCTGTTCCAGCACCTGCCTACATGCCACTATTCTCCCCATCATGATAATAGAATAAATTTCTGCAACTGTAAGCAAGAGCCTAATTAAATGTTTTCCTTTGTAACAGTTGCCTTGGTCACAGCATCTCTTCACAGCAACGGAACAGTGACTTACGACACTGTTTCCCACTTTAGTTTTTGAGACAGGGTCTCTCCATGAACCTGTAACTTACTGACTTGGCTAAGTTGACTGACAATAACTCAGCTATAATCCAGGGACTAGAGCTGCCCACATGGCTTTTTACAGTTACAGGAGACCCAAACTCAGGTCTTCATGCTTGAGGGCAAGTCCTTTACTGACTGAGACATCTCACAAACCTCTAATTATTTGAAACATTTAATTTTGGCTATTGTTCGAAGAGGATCACTTAAGACATAAATTTAAAAAGAATGCCTAGTAAAATAAGAAGCTCCTACTTTCTTTATTACTTAGCATTGTATACCATAACTACTTAAAAGTTTATTTTCCTTACAAAAATGAATGCTTTAAAGGTCTTTTTTTTTTTTTTTTTTTTTTTTTTTTTTTTTTTTTTTTTTTAATTTCAGGTGAAGGTGCATTGGTGTTTTGCCTCCATATACATCTCTGTGAGGTGAGGTGTTGGATCCCCGGGAGCCAGAGTTACAGACAGTTGGGAGCTGACATGTGGTTACTTGGAATTGAACCCGGGTCCCTGGAAGAGCAGTATAAGTTCTTAACTGCTGAGCCATCTCTCCAGCCCTGTTTTAAATTTCTTATGACACTGTCTTCCTGTATGTTCAAAAAGGAAAATATCAATATAATTATTAATTCTTAGAACCTAACGTTATTTTCACAACTTGCAAATTAGAGTAATAGTGACTATTTAGTATTGCTTTCCTAGGAAATACAAAAGGACCAATGTCTTACCAGGTTCACAATCAATAACACTAAAAAAAAAAAAGCTTTTTCAAAACAATTCAACACTATGGCCATCAGCATGTACCCTCAAAAATGGAATTATGTGCCACTTGGAAAGTCCTTTGGACCTTTTAATCCCCAAAGAAAACTGAGCTTTCGTAGTGTCTGAATGACCTTCTCTGCTGAACATTCAATCTATGGCCACTAAAATGCCTCGATCCTAAGGGTGGGCCTTGTCCCTCTCACCATTATGGCAGAAATGCGGCACACATTGCATCTCAGTCTTATAAAGAGTCAAAGCCATCTCCTACCAGAGGCTGAAGTTGTCTCCTCCTCACTGTCATGCTTCTCGTGCCACTCCATTGTCCTGTAATAGCTGAGCATCACTTCCCACAGTGCTTTGCACAGGTCCGCCAGGCATGGAATATAGCTGTCTGGTGTTACATGCTGAAGAAAAGGAGTCAATTCCCAAGAATGATATTTTCTTAAATACTCACAGCTAATCAAAATGAAATGTTCTATTATTAATCAGATTCAAGTAAAATTACAAGTAAGGAAATTTCTTCCACTGGTATAGCATAAGAAGAAAATCAATATAAGAAAAAAATTTCAAGTAATTCCCATTTCAACATAGCTTTTTATTACTTGTTAGTAATAACAGTCCATATAGTATGATTCAATTGTAGTCCCTGAACCAATCCAAGAAATTATTGAACTGGTAAGTGTTCTCAAAACATACATTTAACTTCTTCAAACGTCAGAACACAGCCCAAGAATGGAGTCATGTGAGACTTCTGGGACCTCATGAGAAAATTCCAAATGAACAAGTCTTGTAGCCTCTGTTCTTCCTAACATGGGTTGTTCTTGGGATGTGCTCTCGTGCCCTTCCTGGTATAGGAGTGAGTTACTTCAGCAGCTGTTATTCATATGCCTACCTGGAAAAACATTGCTTTCCACGTGTGGCTTGTCCTTGTGATTGAACACCTTACTCATGTGATTTTTTTCACCCTCAGAGTATCAACTGTCTGATTCTCTGGATAAAGCTGGCTATTGCATGAGACTTTAGTCCAACTCATTTTGGGCCTCGTTTTCCCAGGTTCACTCTAACTAGAGTGGTAAACAACCAAATATATATACTTTTTCAAATACATGTCTAAACATTTAGACATGGCTCTATATTTATTCTTGGAGCAGAGTCACAAACGGCATAATGAAAGCTGGATTTACCATGCAATGATTTCATCTGTGTAAATGAGTAAACATTTTGACAATCTCTGAATTCTACAGATGTACCAGTAAAGTAAAACATTTTAAAGCAAGTTATTACACACACAGATTATGGAACACTGCAAAGCTCTAAGGGATGCACACGAGGGCCCTGCTCCCATCTTTCTACATCTATGAAAACAAGCCTTCTGCCTGCCTTGTTTTTCCTGTTCTACCTTGCAAGCTTCCCATCTGACATAAGGCAGCATTTGCTCCATTGTTAGATTTTCTAGATCCTTGAAGTTTGTGATCAACCCACCAGAAAGGACTCTTCTGATGAGCACAGAAGGGCTCAGGGACTGGAGTGAGTAATCCTCCGGGGGAAGTGCTAGCAGAGCAGAGCTGCTCAGGGTACTCACGTGCCCACGGCTATAGCTAGAATTTTCCTGCCTTGCCCACAGTCAGGACAAATCTCTGTCACCCGCCAGTCCCACAGCCGCTCAGACCCAACCAAGTAAACACAGAGACTTATATTGCTTACAAACTGTATGGCCGTGGCAGGCTTCTTGCTAACTGTGCTTATAGCTTAAATTAGTCCATTTCCATAAATCTATACCTTGCCACGTGGCTGGTGGCCCACCGGCATCTTCACATGCTGCTGGTCATGGCGGCATCTGGCAGTCAGTCCTTCTGCCTTCCTGTCCTTTTATTTCTCCTCTCTGTTAGTCCCGCCTATCCTTCCTGCCTAGCCACAGCCGATCAGGTTTTATTTATTGATCAATCAGAACAACTTGACATACAGACCATCCCCCAGCACAGCCAAGTGCAGACCATCTCAGACACCTGCACTCAGGCCCATGGTCCTAATCATCCTCTATGCGGACCTGCTGGGTAACGCCACAAAGAACCCAAGAAGGGCTCCCACAGGACATACAGAACATCCCACAGCACACAGCCTTCATGGAGCTGCTCAGGAAGCCTGCATGGCCATGACCCTCACAAGGTTGATGCTCAGAATGCTCACAGGCCCCCAGGCTTCATGGGATTGCTTAGGATGCTCACATGCCCAAGGCCCTTGCCAGGCTGCTGCTTGGGATGCTCATACATCCATGGTCCTCACTTTCAAAAGGCCTGCTAGTCCCAGAATGACTTCACCCCCACAAATCTCCGAACATTTACCGAACACTAACCAGGATGTCTCAGAACACTTTTGTGAAAGCACATCAAATTTCTCAAACTGAACCACAAAGCAGAAGACTTAACCTCTGGAATCAGACTGCCTATGTAAGACTTATGACAGAAATGTTTGACTGGTTTAATATTACAAGGCCAATTAATATTTGCTCTATTAATAGATCTAAGAAGGAAAAAAATGACTACCTCACAGACACCAAGACAGAAAAGCCGACCATCATTCACTCAACAGCCATTCCTAATTAAAAACTTATGAATAAATTAAGAATGACCTCATAATTCCTTAAAGCATAACTGCTATGGTCAAGAAAGAGTTAAGGCTTCTTCTACCTCCAGTGCTGTTTCGCAGTTTGGGAGACAATGGCCAATACAGTTAGACCAAAGGACTAGGGCTACACAGACGAAAGACCTCTTCAATCTCCTAACTGACACAGGAACTACAAGCTCCTACAGTCAACAAGACTCTCTGTAATAACCCAGCAAAGCCACAGGTTATAAAATTAGCACGCAAAAATAAGAGTCACATTAATAACAATCATTTAGATTTACATTGCATGGGGCATCTCACTTACAATGAAAGAGACAAAAAGCTTTAGGAATAATCTCTGCAATACATGTTCAAAGACTCCATGAGGAAAATCATGAGACACCCTGAAAAATGTAAGACTTGAGCTAACAGAGTCAAGCTTATTCTTGATTAGAATATTTCAGTGTTTATTAGCATACCATACAAAGCTAATTCATTACCTTATTACGATACCAACTGTTAAAGCCCCAGTCTCTCAGAAAAACCTAGTGTATGATGGAGGTGGCACCTCACATCATTAGGCAGTCATTTTCAGAAACGGTGTCTCGCAACTAGACAGCCAACAGAAAAGACTAAATGAGACCCGCTTCCTACCGATACACAAGAATATACTCTAAATAAGATATCTAAACAACAACAACAAATACCACTATTATAGAGCACTAGGAAAAAATTTCCTCTCTAATGTTACTACAAACAAAACGCTGCTTTGTAAACCTCAAAACGCAGAGGGAACAAAACTAAAACCTGATAAATGTTTACATTAAAAAAACAGAATTTGTATGACCATAAACAAAAACAAAACACAAAGATACACTCCAAAAAATTCACATATATCATAAAGAATTAATATCCTACATCTAGACATAACTCTAAAGAGTGTGAAAAGCTAGATGTGACAATGTATGCCTGCAGTACTAGCTGTTCGGACGGTTGAGGCAGGGGGATGAACCTATGAGTTCAAGGCCATCCCCGGCAGTACAAAAAGACCTCCCTCTCAAAAACGAGAATAGCAACAACGAAGTTTGGTGGGGACAGATAAAAAATGAAAGATCATAACAAACAGAAACACAAAATAGAACCTGAGACCTAGGCAAGAATACTCAGTTGTTAGTTTTTTGAGACAGGGTCTCAGTATGTATCCCTGGCTATCCTGGAACTCACTCTGTAGACCAGGATGGCCAATAGCTCAGAAATGTCCTCTACCTTCCGAGCGCTGGGATTAAAGGCATGCACCACAATGCCCTGAAGCTCAACTTATTTTAACTAGGCAAACTAGACAAAGAAAGCCACAGCCAAACACAACTCACACTCCACTGCGGGAAGGACCCTAAAACGGTATAATCTCATGAGGCAAACAGGAACCACCTAACAGAACAGCAAATGTACTTCCATTTCAATGGAGCAATCTCCCTCTAGAAATATATCCCGATGATGCACCATAACAAAATGTTTAACTAAAAGCTATTGAAGTCTACCTAAATCCCCAAACACAGGAATCTGCAGAAAAAACTACATTCATACACATAAAAGAATACCATGAAGTTATGAAGAATAATTTCACATGCTTATTTTATAATTGCTAGCAAACAATGAGACAGTTTTAATTTTTTTCCTCAATTTATTTCAGCACATCATGATGCGTAACTCATCTCCTACCACATATACATTAGAAAGAACAAGATCAGAAGATGAAAAGTAAGTGTATGGCCAAGTAAAACAAAACTCAAAGAGTTCCAGGCTGTACCTTGGCAACCATTCACCCAATACAAACACTGCGCCGAGATCAATTTTAAAAATTTTCAGATTCTATATTGCTTAATTTACATTTATATTATGTAAATGTATTTCATCTAAGTATGTCCCAACATTCTCATTAGAATATAAGAGGATAAGAGCATTAGGTGTATTTTATTTCTCTAAAAAAATTAAAAAAAAAAATTGAGCTATACAAATAGCTGCTACAGTCCACCAATGAATTTCTACATCACATTGTAGTTTATCAAACCACAAAATTAAAACTTAAATCTACTACCTCTGCTCTAAACAATGTGCTCTCCTATACTACGTCTCAGGGCTCCTCTCCTATGCTATGTCTCAGGGCTCCTCTCCTATGCTGTGTCTTAGGGCTCCTCTCCTATACTATGTCTCAGGGCTCCTCTCCTATACTATGTCTCAGGGCTCCTCTCCTATGCTGTGTCTCAGAGCTCCTCTCCTATGCTGTGTCTCAGGGCTCCTCTCCTATGCTGTGTCTCAGGGATCCTCTCCTATGCTGTGTCTCAGGGCTCCTCTCCTATGCTATGTCTCAGGGCTCCTCTCCTATGCTATGTCTCAGGGCTCCTCTCCTATGCTGTGTCTTAGGGCTCCTCTCCTATGCTGTGTCTTAGGGCTCCTCTCCTATACTATGTCTTAGGGCTCCTCTCCTATGCTACGTCTTAGGAGCTTACTATTGTTTAACAGATGGATCAAGCCAGATAAAATATATGTAATATTTTTCAAAAACAAGTGAAAGTATAGCAAACCTGTCACTGATTCAAGATTCACAGATCTAACTAAATCAATGTCTAAAAGTCTACCAAAAGAACTCAAATTTTATTATAATCCAATACAGCAATGTCTACAAGCATATGAGACTAATAAATTTAACACCAGACAGTAAGATAATTCTCATCTAAGTTTATATTCTAAAAGTACAAACTATAGAGACCATTTACTTAAAAAAAGTTTTAAATATATATAA